ATTTTTTATTGACTTTTTTCCTAAATGCAAGACATATATCGAAAAATAAAAGAAAATGGAGAAAACAAGTTCCTAAAACTTATTTTCTCTCAAACAAACGCAACCTTAATTGTGATGGATCATGTCCTAGAAAGTTATGTTCTTTTTTTTCCGACACAAAACCAAGTTTCTCTTTAAATAATGATTTTAAAATTCTTAAAGACGTATCTTTTTTGTATTAGAATATGTATTTAAAAAAATTTAATAATTTTTTTAAAATATTAACTCCAAAGTTTGAATTCAAAAAAGTAAATAATGAGTAAATCTTCCTAAACACAATTAGATCAATCTTTTAATTAAGTAAAGCTATTTTGAGAACATATTAGATAACAAATTTGAACACCCAAATTTTTTTCTACCTAGCTCGGGCCCTCTTCTCAATTAAATTAACACATGGAAAATTCCAGGCCTTTGCCGTGCTAATGCGAATGCAAAATCCATAATTTTTCAAATTAGTAAAAATTATAAAAACCAGAGGGAAATACGGAAGGGGTTATGTCCATATTATTCAATATTTCATGTCAATTGCGAGACTTAATTAAATTAAAGCCATAATATTCAAAAAGTAACAAAAAAACAAATGTTCCATAAGACCCAGAGCAACAAGGAACAAACGTTCCATAAAACCCAAAGCCATTTACAGATGTTAAGCCTCTACTAATTTATTTTATATGCAATTCTAATACATGGTGCACAATCGGCTATATATATCCAAAATAAAATAAAATACATATAAAAAATAATATGTCATAAATAATTACATATTTTCACTGATAATTTTTAAAGTTTTTTTTTTAATTCGTATAATTTCATAGTAATAATCTAGCAATTAACGTGTTATTTGTGTATCCCAATTTCAAAAAAATAAATAAAACAACACACAAACATATATAGTTTAAGTATTGTGTACTCGGTAGGTTTTATATATATATATATATATATATATTAAACAGATTCGAGTCTTAAAAAAATTAATTTATTTGGTAAATATATAATAAGAAAGTGTTATCTCTCATCGTATAATTCAAGATTTACGGATTTCTTTTATTGAAAAGAAAAAAAATCAGTCGTTACAAGAGCCAAATTATTGTTGGCACCACATACTATATGGTTCCTTAGATAATAAATGGAACCTTTGCATCAACAAATACGCTAGGGCTTGTTGGTTTTTGAAAATTATGAATTCGAGTCCAGCAATTGGCATAAATTTTGAAATATTTATAAGATATAATATGAGTACGTACAAATACCTAGCGGGGGAGAGAGGGAATGGTGCCTCTCATCTCGATCATGAGATACAACATGAGCCAAACTGATCTATAATCACGTAATATATTGAGATTAAACTCCACGTTAGATAAATAAATAAACGAAACCTTGTAATAGATCAATTAAACTAAATGGGAAAAAGGATCGAACCTCACCTTCTCCAGTTACAGACACAAAATTAGATTTTGATTTGTTATCGTAAGTGAATGTTTTTTTTTTTAGTTTAACAATAAAAGTATCTTCGAAATAATTTTCTTATGAATCCAAATAAAAAATTTTTTCAGACGATTTCAAAAATACATTTTTTTATTAACATATTCATTATAATTATCAGTATCTTACATCATTGTAATGAGTATCTTATCATTTTTTTCCTTCACCTCTGTCATTACTAGTAACTTTCACCTTGTTGACAACCTAACTACAATTCAAAGCATCACCTTATCATTTTTTTTCTCTTTACCTTTTGTTTTTCACATTTTTACTAACGAAACTGTGAAAGCAAATTGACCGTACTTTAGTGGTGTATCTCATGACTACCGAACATGAAGCGGCTTCATGGAATAAATTAAGGATGCATGCATTTACATATTGAAAACCCAAAAGAGATGAGATACGTGGTTAAAAAGATTTCCTTACTCAGTTGTTGAGTTTGAATTTTTAACTTTAGAACCAGTATCAGGTCAATATAAAATTTTTATCTTAAATTCATTCAGACAAAGAATTTTGTCCCAATGTCGGTGCATACATTAATCCAAAAATGTCTCCAATCATTGGAAAAAATTACATATAGAAAAAGCATATATATATAAACGCAGACCACTCTTGTATTCGAATTGTTAGTTGAGCTCCGAAGATCTAAACTCTTAATTGCTGAAATATAAAGTCTTAAATACCATGTCAAAAATAAATATTTATATACTTAAAAGAATTAATTTGGGTATAAGGAGGTTTAATCATTCAAGTAAGTGGTTTTGAGTTTGAATTTTTGTGTATATAAAATACTTTTTGAATAATTATTTTTATCTTATGCATTCGATAAAATAACGAAAGATTAATTTAAATTTTTAAATTTGAAATAGTTTGGAGTAGGCATGATAAGGAGAAGAACGTACTAATTTGGCTGTAACTTACTATTTTATTAAACTAGCGGCCTGATGCATGAGCAAGCTGGACGAGTTCTTTAGCCAAAGTGGACATACCACAGGGTGTGTGAGCTTGAGTTTCTCATCTCAGGTCTAACATGAGATTTCCAATGCCCCCACTATCTTGATTTAAGTAATCTAATACGGTCTTTGTAAATTGTCACCTTTTTGTCTCCCATCCAATGTCCTTTCTTGTCTACGATATATATTAGCCCTCTCCGATCGTGGCACTACATTTTGATACGGACCTAGAGGTTATCATGCCCATATGAGGTCTTGTCCAAAAGGAAGTGGCTTTGGTAAAATCAGATTATATGAGTGTACAAAATTTGTCCTGGCCTGGCATTCCTACAGCAATGATCTTACTAGAAGACGAGGTAGACGAGGTAGCTTCGACTTAGGTTGCAATAATTGGATGTGATGCATACCTTAAGCTGGACATTAGAATTGGTGAACAATATTAGGCATTTTTAAATAGAAAGGAAGAGTTGTTACTTTCCTTAATTTGGTGGAAACAAACAAGCAAATCTCAATCAACCAAATGTCAATTACAGTAGACTTTCTTCTCTGCGTTCTCAACAACAATGGTAAATAAAGTAGTTTAATACTAAGTTATTTAGAGGTAGAAACATGACTTTACCATTGTCATTTTCTTTTGAGGCAATTAATAAGAAATGATATTTTATGTTGTCACGTTCTCAGGATCAATAGTTTACTTATATTATTTAGTCTACTATGTAGCTTATGCATGTTGTTGCGTTCCCCATTTCATCCACATGAAGTCATGGGCCACAACCACTACTCACACCCATCCCCTCCGATCTCTCTTCTCTTGCTTACATATGTAGCCGGACCGCCTTTTACAGGCAAAAAAGCCATTGAAAAGGACAGGCACCAACCCTCTTACTACAATAGGTCCTTTAGCCACTAGACATTCCGTGTGTTGTGCATAAAACAATTAGCCCCACTAGTTCTGCCCTTCTAAAAGCGTATAGAGGTAGGAGAACATGAACAGTAACTTGTATCGAAACAAGTGAAAAGAAATTCTACTCTTATCCAAGCTTTTCATTTCATAAGGGATAAAGAAAAAATCTCACCCCATAAAGTTACATACTTGTGCCAAAAGGAGGAGTTTAATAGTCTTTCATATTTTCTCTGCAACCTGGCAAATCATTTTTATTTTTATTTTTTTAAGAAAAGATGATAAACTTGAATTCGACATCTCTTCGAGAGAGGATGTTACTAATGCCAGTGAGTTACAATTCAATGACAACCTGACAAATTATTAAGATTGATACAATTATATAACTCTGTTTTATGATGTGGACATTTTAGACTCGCCCAAATATATGAAGTGTGGAACCAACAAAATCCTAAAATGATTGGCTGAAGATCTTAGTGTATGCATAGGAATTGAATGTTATTACAAAGCACATGTCAGGAAATAGAGGCAGAGAGAGAGAGAGAGGCAAAGGCTACAAGGGACCATCATCATTTGCTCCCCTGGTTACCAGGAACTTTGCCGCCTCCGCCATCCCATCCTCTGTTGTTTTTGGCCTAAAAAAAGCGTATGTGCCACTATCCACACAGTGGCTGCTTCTATTATTATTATTATTATTTATCTACCACCTTTCAACAAGGAGAGGAGAACCCAGTTGAATCTTGGTCTTGGGACATGCGTGCGTAATGCGGACCCTGTCGTGTCTTGTTACTGTGGCGAATCGTTTTGCTGTTGCAACATGTCCTTGGAGAGTGGCTAGTTTGTGTATTATTTATTTATTTATTTTGGTCTTAGATTCTAGGCAACTTTATATATTGACATGAACACTGCCATCAAGAATGTTCAAACAAAAAAATATTGGGTGAAGCAGCCAATGCTGAAATAAAATAATCTTTCTACTTCCCGGATTTCCTTTTGGTACTCCTGTTATTTTATTTCCCTGGTTCCCAGAGTTTGCAGTCCCATTCCCATAGCAGTTTCAGTCAGTCATGACCTGATGGACACGATTGAGAATTGCACTTTTTTGATCAAATAGTAGCGCGTTTCCCCAGAGTAACCAAGTCCTACTCTCTTTTGTTTTGTGCATCTTTATTACTTTTGTAAACTGTAATAACAGAGTAAGCAAGAACCTCAGGCCAGTTGCCCATGCTGGGGGTATTAGGCAGGACGGAGATGGGGATAGCGATGACTGTCCCGTCTTTCATTTTTATCTTTAAAAAAAGTAATTTGACAGGTTCTCATCCCGTCCCATTTGAGACGAGGATGAAAAGCAAAATTTCACCTCGAACGAGATATAAGATAGGAATGGGTTTTTTTTTTAAAGGGAAGGGGCAGTGATAGGGGTGGCGATCCCCGTCCCCCTCCCATTGCCATCTCTAGCTGGGGGTAAAAGTTTTAAAACATGTCCTGCAATTGTATAGGGCAATTTCTGGACCCATTTACTCGCTATAAGCCCATACTATAAAGTAATAGTGTGGCAGTAACCCTGAAAAATCAACGAGCTGAGGTTGGCACATGATTAGTTCCGATTGAGGGAAGAAAGCAACATGGCTCTTTTTCCTTCTAAAGTTGGCAACAAAGGTTGCATTGTTTTCTTTTATGGTAAATAATACAATTGTAGAGTTGTCTGTGTCATAGCGCGCAATATCCAACCCGACGTGAAGAAGGTGTTGGAATCAAGGTCCGTAGAACACAAGGAAGAGAGGGAAGGCGCAGTCACATGCACTACAGCAATGAAAAATCTTTTGCGCAATTTGCATTGAAGATTTACAAAGAGTTGGTACAAGAGAATTATCTTTGAAAGGCATTATGACATACAAAGTTAATGAAATGCAACTTAGGATAATCCATCTTTGAGCTTACGGAAGTAAGGTTTGTACCTCTGTGCTAAACCAAACATGCCTAGAGTGCCCCCTGTGTGCAGCATCACCACTTGGGCACCCCCTTCCATTTCTTCCTTGCTAAGCTGCGTCGCCATTTCCCAAGCAGCCAAAGTATACACAGGATCCACTAGAATACCAGTCTGCTGTGCAATTCGTTGGCATGTCTCTATTTCTCCTTCCAAAATATTGCCAAATCTGAGAGAGAGAGAGAGAGAGGGACCCATCTTAAGTTGCTAACTAAAACAAATACTTCCAATTGAAACCTATCCTGTACAGATTTTACATTATATATGCCTATTGTCATAACAAATAAAGACACTCAGTGCTTAGTATCCTTGGATCACCATTTCCTTTCTGAAGACATTTATAACCTTTTGGCACTGATATTAAACTAATAATTGAGAAGAAAAAAGGCTACACCTGCATGCATGATCCCACTATTTAGAAGCAGGTTACAGCGAATAGCTGAACAATTGCGACGTGCAACTCCTAAACAACGTTGTCAAATTACAAAATAAATTAAACTACCAGTAGAACATTGAGGCTGCGATGCATGCACTGAAATGAATAAAAAAGAGGCTCATCTTTTTCTACTCATTAATCCGATGATAATTGCTCTAGTAAATATTACAACCCTAGTCAATTTGTTTCTGACATATTTCTTTATCTCCTAGTTCTCCCCTACATTGCATAAGAACTTCATGATCTAATTCTTCTACTTTTGGATTAAAAAAAAAATCAATTCTCTTTTATTTCTCTGGCTTCTGAATTTTGCATGAATATTATAATTAGAAAATTTTTATCAGGTCAAACCTTATTATTAAATTCTGCACATGTATAATTACTATTCAAATGAAAATTTTCCTATTAAAAAAAAAAAAAAAAAAATCCTATCTTAAAGAACAATGTTCCATGCTTCACAAAGGTTGAACACTTGCTTACATAGATTTTAAGGGAAAAAAAAAGATTTGGATAATTTAAGTTTGAAAGAGCAACAAAAAAGATCAGCACATACGCACTTTCTCTGATGGCAGCGCCCTATCCAGTGAACAACTCCATCTACTTCATTTAAGCAGTGGTCAGTAAGATGAAAACCAAATAGTGTCCTGAAATCAGAAATTAATTTTTTCTCTTGTTTTTTGTATGAATTGATTGTATCAGCCAACATGACCGCAGTTACCTCCCATGGAAGCCTGAGAGATCAACAACAATAGTTAGTCTTGCCATACATAGTAAATTAAAACCCAATCCCTGGGAGTGGTATGATGTAGAACCAAAGAACAAGGTCACCAAAAGAGAGCTAATTTAGAACACAAACCGAAATTCACCAACAATAAAGACACTCTATCTTGAAGGGACCAAACCAAGACAGGCACACTCAATCTTGGGGAATCAACACGAGAGACACACTCAACCTTGGAGAATATACAAAGTCTTTATTTCAATCAATAATAATAACTAAATGTCTGCCTAAGGTGCTTATTTTTGTAGGCATTCAATAAAAACAAGTCCTAATAAAAATAGAATATTAAAAATTAGACTCGATATTTCTTCCTAAAATAATATTTCCTATAAGATTTTCTACTTGGGCCTGCATCAGGTAGATAACACAATCATCCAAAAATTTAGTAAGGTCAATTGAAAGCTGCAATAGAAACAGGAACATACCCTAAACATAGGGCTCCAATTCCCAAACCGATGGCTGTCGTTCCAGTGCCAGCATCTAGAACCAACTTTATCGGTCTCTCTTTTCCAAATAAATGATTCTGGCACAAATACTGCAGTAGGCGAGTGACACCTATAAGAAAGAAATCATATTCAAGAAGCCATTGTTGGAAGCACTAGTAACTGCATCAGTGACAAGGTCCAACTTAATAATAAAGTCATAAAAAAAGGGGTGCATTCTTAATCAAAGGGAATCTATGCTCTCTTAGATCAATAAACAAATCAATATGATACATATTATAAACCCTTGGGATACAGCCCAGAGTAGCAAAGAACAACTCAAAGCCATGAGGATATTGGCAAAGTTTAATGCACAACAAAATATTTTAGAGTCATGGAAATCCATAAGAACCATGAAAATTTTCCTGATGGATCTCCTTGACCTTCATCAATTGTCAGTCAGTTCAAAAATGCATAAAAGTAGGCCTTAGGTGAAACACCTCAAGATTCTTTGAGACAAGCATGTGAATTAAACATTGTGCTTCATCTATTTCAGTAGAACAGCATTAGCAAAGAACAAGTCCAAATCCTCAACACGATACCCAGATATGAAGATCTCACAGAGCCTGGGTAGTCATGCCTCGTTGGCATGATGACCAGGGATCTAAATTCCCAACCTGTCTTCGTGCTTACTCCCTACCATCTAACAATTACCCACAAAGAGAAAAAGTTTTCTTAGCAAGGGTTTACATACACATATGGAAACAGGATTTCCACCTTACCTAGTAATGCTGCAACATCACCTGCTCCTTCATTGATGATTGCAACCTTTTTGTGATGGTTCTTTGTGGTTCCAAGAGCATCTACGTGCCCAGAGCTTGAAGTACTAGATTGGGCTGATAAAGAAGCCTCAAGTATGTCATTACACCATAAAATATGACCAGTGTTGCCTGCCACCAAATCAGCATGGTTCTTCAACATATTCACCCGATGGGCATAAATAGATCTAGGAGCATATGTGATATCTCCATATAATGTTGAAATTAGGTTATAGCCAGTCAGAACTTCAGGCTGCTCTCCTCTCAGAAGCAAATGGGATTTTATCCCTCTCTCTGCACATGAAACAGCTGCGAAATACAAATCTCACTAAGCCAAGCAAGATATGATATTACTTGTCACAAAGTGAAAATTCCATAAAACTCGGGCAAGTTTTCTAGAGTTACTACAGCAAGAGACTACCTACCAACAGCTGCTGCATGTGCACTTTGACAGCCTCCACATGTAACCTAGAAAAATGTCCCAGTTGAATGTTATTTGGTCTTCAAAGTCCCTAAAATTGAAAAGAGAATGTCTTGGTGAAGCTTATTGCCATAATTGTTTAAAAACTACTGAGTATGTTTATGAGCATAAGAATGCCTTAAGGTTGAATCTAACAAAGGGAGCACTAAGCCAATAATTAACATGACTAAAATACAAAACAAAGCTGCTCCAGAAAAATGCAAAATTAAGCACAATTTTTAAAATAAAGGGGGAATCCAATCTTCTAAAGCCAACAAAGAGAAGCTCTGCATTATAAAAAATGCTTGATATCCTATATCCACTAGGAATGTAGGCTTACCACATCAGTCACAGAATGATCTGCAAGGAGGGGAAGCAACGCATCCAGTTTTCTCGCTTTATTACCATTTACCAACGGATGCAACAAATCATCCCTTACAACATAGAAGAAAGGATCCTCATTGCCTTTCTCCACCAAGTCATCACCAAAACATAGTTTAGTATGGTTCAACAAGGAAAAGTTACCAGATGGTCCATCTCTGTTTAGTTGTTGCAATGGAGAAAGCTTTATTCGGTGAATTTCAGTATCCGGGATGTGCAACATCCATCTTCTATTAAGCACCTTTGACATTAACTCTTCACCACTCAGTTTAACTTCGGGAAGACCCTGGCAATGAATGGAAAAACATGATCTTTATATGATTAACACACCTCTTAATTGTTCAGTTTAGCAAGGCAAAAAGAGAGAGAGAGAGAAGAAAAATACTGAAAGCAACACCAACCCTTGCCCAGAAAGAATCTTTAGCCGATTAATTTAAAGGAGTCTGTTTGCATTCTTTAAAAAAAAAAAAAAAAGAGCCTGGAAGTAGAACCTACAATTCCCGGTTATTCCCTCATCCCTTGTTCTTCTTCTTCCCATCCCATACCAATATATAGTGTAAAAGAAAATCTAAGCAACAATGTCAAGTCTTTACTCATTAATCACTACGAGGGAAAGAGAAAGAGAACCTGAGAATAAGTTGAAAACTGAGCCGAGTAAAGTCCGGTTTTCATGGCCGTGACTGTTCTTTTACAGCTCAAACCTTGTAGTTTCATTGGCTGGCTGCCTCCAACTCTCAATCTCTTTATACTCTACTCTCCTAGTCCTCCTTCGAGAAAAGAAGACAGGACCGCAAAAATGTTTGTGTCGCTCACTGTCCTTCCAAAACTAATTGTGCCTTACACAGTTAGGGGCTTGCTCGTCTTCGGCTTCAGTCGAGGAAATACTAAATTAGTCCCTGTCATTTAGCCAAACTAATTACTTACGCCTCTAGGTTTCATAAATTGTATCTTTAATCCTTATAATTTGAAATTTGTTTACCATCAATTCCAAGTTATTTTTTAATTTATTTGTTTTATAATTTTTGGAAAAAAAGAATAAAGAAAAAAGATAAATAGATAAGTATTATAAAAGAAATAATAACAATACTAGAGTTGAAGAAAAAAATGATAAGAAAAATGAATTCAAATACAAAAGATAATCATTTAAAACATTTCTCTCAATTTTTACAAAACATTTTTTTTTACACAAATTAGTAAACAATCAAGTCTATTTATAGACTTTAAGATTAAAAAGAGAATTAAAAGGAATTACAAACCTTTAAAAGTTGTATAAATAATTGAATCAATTGCATTACTTTTTCAATTTCTCACATTAAATGATGAATTGAATCACATTAAGAATAATAAATAGTGAGAATATGAAATAGTTATAGACATTCATTGTTTTCATAACAGTAAAAAAAAAACTTTTTTTCTGATTGAAAAATTTATTTTATTAAGAAGCAATTAAATAAAAGATTAAAATCTGCTATAAATCTCAAAAAACAATCATAATTAGTATTGCACAATCTCAACACAATCAACTCGAATAATTTAAGCAATTGCAGTAGTTGTATGAGAACTTTCTCTATTAAAAATCTTGAAATTTCTCTCTGTTCAAATAAAATAAAGACTCTACACTAAACAAGTCTAAGACTAATAGATAAAAAACATTGTTTCTATAAATTTATTTTGATATTATTAAATTTATATTGTCGGTCTTATATTTTTTAATATTACAAACATACATAATAAAATTTTAAACATCTTTAGCAAATGATAAGTAAAAAATAGATGATTTCTACACATATCAGCAGTGATATGAGAAAAAGAAAACTATGAAAATAAAGATGGTCAACCATAGTCAAGAAACTATTTAATTATTTCTAATACTATATTTACTAATTAATTAATTTGAATAAACCATAGGGACTAAGTTATAATTAATTCAGCGCGAGTCAGAGAAGCCAAAAGGGAGAGAAAAAAGAGATGTTACGGACTTAGGGTGTCGTAACCTGTATCGGCTCAAAGGCGTAGGTATATAAAGCTAAAAATTAAGCAGACACTAGGGTTTAAGCAGGGTTTCTTTCTCAATCTTAAGAATGTCGACGGCGGATTCCTTGTCGGCGTCTGGGCGGAGCTCGGAGAAGCTGAGCCTTCCATCACTACAATCCAAAATGAAAATTGACCCAGAAGGTTACGAAACGGAGCTGGGTCTTGTTTATAGCCAATTCAAGTCGGCTTTGGATCTCTTTCAACAGCAAGCAGCTCTCAACTTTGCCTCAGCCTCCGGTGTCTGCGCTGACCCCACCATTGCCAGGAGCCTCAGTGACCGCGCCACTTTTTTGGCTCATGTCACACCCTTTTACCCGAAGGAACTCGCTGAGTTCCCCACTCAACTCGCTGAATTTCTCAAGTCGTCTGCTCGGACTCTGCCTTCGGGCCTTCGCTGTCATGTTACTCAAGCGCTTATTCTACTGATTAATCGAAATGTATGATCTTTTTTACTTTTTGGAATTGCCCATTAATTTTTTATTATTACTATTTCGAATTTCGTGAATTTATTTGATATAATTTGCTGGTAGATGGTTGATATCGGTAAAACTCTAGAATTATTCATGGAGCTTCAAACACTGGGAGATAGGATATTGAGGAAATTGGCTTTTACTCATGTTGTTCATAGCATAAGGAAGATGAATAAGCAGCATAAAAATGAGGCTAAGAATAGGGCTCTTCAAAATATCCTCTTTACCATGCTACAGGTTTGTAATTTTTTGCTGGCTAGAAGTTTGATTTATCTTTTTGCATTTGTTGGTTTGGACTGGTTTTATTTTTTATTTTAATGTTCACTTAGCAAGATGATGAAGCACGGGCGAAGAGAGCCCTTAACACGCTATGTGAGCTTCACCGAAGGAAGGTGTGGTTCGATGATAGAACAGCAAATTCTATTTGTATGGCATGTTTTCATTCATCATCAAGGTTAACTTTTCATTCCTTTTCTTTTCTTATTTTTGGGGTGTAAATTCTGCTTTCCAGTTTTTGATATTTGATTGCATTTGTCAGAATCATGATTGCTGCTCTGTCATTTCTCCTCGATTATGAGAAGATTGAGGGTGATGAGGATGATGATAGTGATGCTTCAAGTGCCGAAGATGATCCAAACCCTCTAACAGCTCAAGTTGTCATTAATAAAGAGTCTATTTATAAGGTCAGATACATCCTATATTTTGGTTTTTGTGGAATTCTAGAGGCAGCCATTCTAAAGTAACTAACAACACGCACTATTATAGTAGTTCGAATGGCTAGTAATGTATTGCTAACTGGTTAAACAGTTAGCTTGCCTAGAAGAAAATAGAAGAAAAAACTGAGGCTCCAACATGAATTTGAATCCCCAAGGTAACCCATCACTTTGGTCCTCATCCTCAATCTCACTAGCCAGCAAGAAAAAATAGCACAATTGTGTACCCAGTAGCTAAACATCACACGATACCAACTCACCCATCAGCCTGAGCTTGTGTACAATCTTAGGACTCTAGTGTATCTAGATGTTGTTTTCAAGTTCCAATTTATATGTTCAATTTAAAATGGGTATATTGCCTGACCTCTCCCCTGTCTTCTTGGCAGAACTGGCATTGATACATTGAAGGAGATGGTTATATTATTCAACAATGACAATTGAAAAATCATGATTAATTTCCAATATTTTGTTGTTTTTTGTTCAAAATTTCAGGCACACCATAAAGGTACAGTAGCTAGTAAGAAGAAAAAGAAGGCAAAATTGCAGCGTGCCATACGCAGCATGAAAAGGCAGCAAAGATTGTCGTCGGATAAGAACAATTCGAATTATTATTCACCATTCAACCACCTTAAAGATGCACAGGTTTTCCTCTTTTCCCATAATTTTACTCTGTAGTTCTACAGAAATTCTGAACATCTGTATGTGGGATAAAGAGATTTTAGGATTCCATTTTGCTTGCAGGGGTTTGCTGAGAGGCTATTTTCTCGGCTTCAGACTTGCAATGAACGTTTTGAGGTGATTGTGAAATCTTGGCTTTGGCAGAGTTTGTGGTGTGTCCATTAGAATCATTTGCTTGTTTTCTGACATTTTAATGGTTTTTGAGCTTCTGTATCATATTTGGGTATCACATATGATTTTACATGTGTGCCTTTGTATGCCTTATTTTGAGTTCTGAAAAATAACTGGAAGTGTGTTCATGGACAATGGGCAAAAAGAATGAAGAAAATGTTGGGACACAAGGGGTTAAATTGCGATTCTTTTTCCTAAAATGCTGCACTGGCTTTTATATTTTTCTGTTAAATATGGATGTTATGTGTAAACTTCAGGTCAAGATGATGATGTTGAAAGTAATTGCAAGAACTTTGGGGCTCCACCGGTTGATTTTATTGAACTTCTATCCTTTTCTTCAGAAATATGTTCAGGTGTGCTACTAGAATGAAGGAAAGTTATGCTGTTGGCAGTGAAAATATGGCCATGGCCTTTCTTATTTACCCTCTTTTCTTTTGTCCTAATGCGGTGTTGCTCTGTGCAGCCACATCAGCGTGACATCACAAGTTTACTTGCAGCAGCTGTTCAGGCCTGTCATGATATGGTAACTTTTCCATTTTGATTGATTGAATTTAATGCTATAATAATAGTTTTTTCCTGTAATTTACTCTCTCTGACTTCCATCCTCTTCTACTAACTTCCGTATTTTTCTTAGATTCTCTTCCCTGCTAACTCACTGTTTTTGTTTTTTCAGGTGCCTCCTGATGCAGTTGAGCCATTGTTCAGACAAATAGTAAATCAGTTTGTACATGACCGTTCACGTCCCGAGGTCTGCTTAGCAGCTGCTCTGTTGTGATTGTATTCTGAAATTGTGAATGATTGTTTCTTTTTACTTTATTTGCTTATTCCAGGCCATCGCCGTTGGACTGAATGTGATCAGGGAAATATGCTTGCGTATACCTTTGGTAACTATAACTCAATTGTAATTTGCTTTTTGATTACCTATTTTCTAATTCTTAAAAATCTTGATGAGTTGGTGAAGAAATATTTTGTTATGCTATTAATGTGTTTTTTCTGTTAGAGGTGATTATTTTTTAATGGAAACAATTATCTCTCTCTTTGTGATGTTCATCATATATCTTTGTCATGCTTCAATTCAAATAACAAATATTCTCACATGAAAAGTTTACTTTAAATTGACAAAGGTGATATTTTCCTTCTGTTTTCTAGTTGATGACGGAAGATTTGCTGCAAGACCTTGTATTATATAAGAAATCACATGAGAAAGCAGTTTCAGTAGCTGCTCGGTCACTCATTACTTTATTCAGAGAGGTACTAGAATTGTTACCTCGATATGCTTCCTCTGCCCATGAATACCTGTTGTTGCTAGACATGTTTACAGGCACGACTGATACAGTAAGACTAATTGTTTCCTTTACTTCAGGTTTGTCCTTCACTGCTGATTAAGAAAGATCGAGGTCGTCCCATTGACCCAAAAGCGAGGCCAAAGGCCTATGGAGAAGTCAATACCGTCAGCAGTGTACCTGGTGTTGAGTTATTAGAACAAACTAACGATGATAATGATGAAGACAACGAGGACAACGATGATGTTGATGATTTGGTATCCCATGGCTCTGATGATGATTCTGAAAATGATGAGATGGTTTCTGCCAGTGATGAAGGAGACCAGATTTACAGTGATGACACTGAAAGTGAGGATGGTGATGCACAAGATGGCTCAGTTGATGAAGATGGTGATAATGCTCTTGATGTTGACAGTAATGATGAGGAGGAGGAGGATGACGAGGACGAGGACGAGGGAGAGAATGATGAAGACAGTCATGTAGTGGACAAGGAGCTTGAAAAAGCTAATGATGCTCATGAAACTAGCGAGAGTGATGCGGCTAGCATAAAGAAAGTTAACAAATCTACAGCTAGAAAGAGGAAGTTATCTGATTTTGATGGGCAACTTATTGCAGCGGATACAAGTTTACGGGCTTTAAAGAGAATGACAGAGGAGAAGTTTAAGCAACCACCATCAGACTCAACAGATGGTATTCTTTCTAATGAAGACTTTCGAAGAATCAAGGAACTGAAGGTGTGCTAATAGGTTAACATTTATGTCAATATTGATATATGTTAATCATTAAGTGTTTATTTGGCATGTTTTTCTTGTGTTATATTATCAGGCCAAGAAGGATGCAAAAATCGCTTTAACTCGGCAAGGGTTTAAAATTCCAAGTTCTGATGATCTGAGTGCGAAGCGGGTGGATCCTGCTAAGCTTGAAGTAAGTATTCTGATGAAATTTTCGCTGCTGTTGTGCCTTTAAAGTGAATGAACTTAAATGCCAGTTTCAGATCCCTTTTTCAAAGTTTTCTTTGTAGTTAAATGTGGCTTTTAGAGATATATTAATTTGCTTTGTGGTTCCACTTTATAGGTTCATGTGCGGGCGAAGCTAAGCAAGGAAGAAAGATTAGCACTGGTTAGAGCGGGGAGAGAGGATAGAGAGAGCTACAAATCTAGAACCGCTGTGAAACAGAAAAAGGTGCTTATTCATTTTTTATAAGCTTACGTTTTGTGATCCAATTCCTAAAATCCAAGCCATCTTATACTTGGCAATTGCTGATTCTGACATAAACGTTAAAATAGATCTTTAAATCTTTTGAGGCATGTTCTTTATATATTATCGGGATTTGATCAAATCATTAATGCTTTCATTTGGTTTGCTTTGTTTTCGATTGTTTAATGAAATTCTTTTATGGTTTGCGCTGACAGACTGGCGGGCAGAGCAACAGGCAGAAGGAACACAAAAAGCAGATGCCTCTTGCTGCGAAAAGGGCCAAGATAGCAAGATCTCGACAAGAGAAAAAGAGAAAGCAGAACCGTTCTGGCAAGCAGTTCCGGGGGAAGAAAGCATGGAAATGATCAGAACCATTTATTATCATGCCATGAATCATTTTTTTATCAAGTACCACACTCTCCTGGAGAAATACAGTTTTGGTTTCCTGGTGACTTAACATATGCCGAATGTCTAATTATTATCCCATCAAATCAAACCAACAAGTCGAGAAAGATGTGGCAAATTATTATTCCTGCAAAAGAAAACATCAATTGAGGAAGGATACGGCAACAAATACTTGTCTAATGAAAGCTTCTAGGCGATGCAGTTTGTTTTTAGGGGTAAAATTGTTGAGCATTGTATCGAAACCTCAAATGCCAAAATAGGTGCTAAACATTGATCGTTCAAAACCCATAGCCATGAAAATGGCGTAAAGAGGCGTGATGTGCTGTAGTTGTATCAAGGTAGTAAGGAATTTGTCCTGTCCTTGAATATACAAGAAAGGTTGTTCTTGTTACCATACAAAGGTGTAGTTTTGTTATTAAATCACTAGGCCATGTACCAAGCAAGTTGAGCGGATTCCCTGGCAAATTTTGGAAAGCAAAATTGGATCAGGATGAACTCTTGGCCTTTGGTAAGCCGTGAGAGTTGGATAAATATACTGGATAAGCCAAAAACTTTTGAATTCTAAGATTACGCCTTAACGTCTTTGTAGCAGAACAAAAGCTACATCTGAATATCACAGCTCCGGTTTTGAATTCCCAATTGGGTAGATGAAAGAGAAGAAGAAAAATGAAATACAGAAAGAATGGGAACCAAAATATATTTGCCAAAACAAGCAAAACAGCTTACTCTTCTGTTAAACGTGAAGAAGAATCAGTACTCTGACCAAATATATCAGGAATTCCATCCCAGTTCTTTCTTTCTCTTGCTTCCCAGTACCCGCCCATATAACAATAACAACCATCCTCATCCTTCCGAAACCATCTCGGTTGCCACCCTCTTTCCTGCAATTTCCTTGCCTATCACAAAGAGAACATAAATTATGGAGCTTTCCTTCAACTTTGAGAAAAATATAAGAAAAGTAGAATGCATCTTTTTTTCTCAGATGAGTATGAGCAAAAGAATTACACACACACACACCCCCCAAAGGACCACATACAAGGCCATAAAATGAGAGAGTCCTAATGCAACCCCGATATCATCAAACCACTTAGCACAGCAGACGAACTAATGATTGAAGTAAAGCATAAACTTTCCAAGAGGTTTTCATCACGAGACCTTTAGAGATAATGGGACGGCCAAAGGTCAGCACAAAAAAACAATATGCTCCAACTGCAAACCATAACATTTAGTTTTGTTCATCTTATGCCAACGACTAATTAAATATAGATAAGCAGGTTATTACCTGTCTTTGTAGCTGCTCAAGTCTCAACTTCTCTGAATTACCCAACTCATATTCCCCGTTTTCTAGGTGTCTCTGATCTGGTCTCAATCTTGAGTCAGTAGGAGGCAATTTCTCCAACAAGCCAGGAGTCAGTTCATTCAAAGATATTGCAAAAGGGGTGAGATTGTATCTTGTCTTGGTAACAGATTTGTCCCTTTCCCAGAGCAAGACAGCCTCCGTCATTGGATCATAACCCTTTGGCTTTGTAGTTGGATCCCCAAGCACATAATACATTGCTTCATCCCACTTCCCAACCAGCATCGCTACCTTCTCTCCTGTTCTATTATCTTGTACAAATCCATGGACCTACAGTAGAGAAAAGATGTTATATCAACTTTTAAGCATTTCTCCTATAGTATATTTTAAAACATTTTATACATTACTAAATGGGTGCACTTTAGTTCACTCAATTGCACACTTGCACATGGACCTTGGGCCAAGGCTCAAAGCCCTCAGAGCTTAAGAGTGGCCAGCACATTTGACAACGTTAGCATTTATATTAATCAAGGGTGATGTTATTCCCAATCCCCTTATTTGTTGTAATCTTAGGTGGTGTTTGATAAAACTGAAAATTAAGTGTTGAATTTATTAAGTATTGAATTTTAAGTGTTGAATCTGTTAAGTACTGAATATGTTCCGAGAAGCTATTTGATATTTACTGAAAATTAAGTACTAAATATAATAAGCATGTTTGAAGATGATAGAATATATATGATATTTTTTAAGATTTTAGTTTGAACATATGTATCTGATTATATTACTCTTATTGTTTAAAATTTATTTTTTCAATTATTTTTCTTACTAAAATTCTCATCAAATTAATTTTTGATATTATTTTATTTGTTAATAAATTTGATTTTTTAATATATGAATTTTGGAATAAAATTTTATAATGTCGATGTTTTATTTTTCAAACAAGATTTTTATATTAAGTAATACAACTTAATTTTTTAAGCTACTTAATTAGGTTATCAAACACCTCCTTATTTAATTTGTTGCTTAAATAAGATTATATTGGTCGCCACAACAAAAGTGAGTGGAATAACACCACCCATACTTAACATTGACAGTATAATTTATATCTCGTGTGTGTGTGTGTGTGTGTGTGTGTGTGTGTGTGTGTGTGTGTGTGTGTGGGGGGGGGGGGGGGGGGTGGGCGGCTGGGCGGAGTGCATGAAACATATATTAAGCAAGGATATAAGATAGTAGCTCGAACAATTCTAGCTCTGGGCAAGCCCAAAAAGAGCAAGTTGTTAACATATTCTATTAAGTATAAAGAGATTATTAGGTACCTCCAGTGTAGTGCTTCCTCGCTCACACAAAAATTGGATGCATTGATAGTTATCATTATGGATCCCATTTTTATGTGAATGAGGAAGCCATGTATTTATGTATGTATGTATGTATGTATGTATAATGCATGCATGAAAGAGAAAAACCTTAATAGAGCTCGACAGAAAGCTAAGCAAGTCATCATCCACCATGAGTCAGGGCAAAGCAAACCTTATCCAACCTTTAAGGAGAGGGAAGGAGATGGAAGAGATGATATAAATCCACATCTCATGAGTGAGTTAGAGAACCTTGACGCACCATAGGAGGGCTAAGGTATGCTACTAAGCTGCCTTAAGTGGTTATTGTTTGAGTTCTTAAAGGCTTCGTCATTATTATTCATTCAAATTCTTTTATCTTATCTTTTCTGGCTATATTTTCTGCTACTCTGCACATTGCATAGAGCATTCTGTCTAGTTTAATAGCAGTTAGCAACCTATGTCTTAATAATCTTCCCAAAGGCCCTAGGGTATATTGATGGAAAGGTTGTTGATCTCTTTAACATGCAAGAACAGAAAATGATGAAATCGTATTGATAAGAGAAATTCAGAGTGTAGTTCCTGCTTTTAGTCTAACTTTTTGTCCTTCCTCCACTTGAATGATTTTTTGTCTTTATGCTTTTCTACAGATTAGGAGAAATGGTAAGGAGGTCAAGCTTCTTTTAGTACAAGAACTTTTAATTTCAATATATTAATAATTTATTTTTTGGAACAAAAACTAAAGGCAACTGCCCTCCTGGTTGTAAACATGGCTTTGCCACAAGTTGTATTAAATATATAATAATTACCTGATGGGGATTTCGATCTATGATCGACTGCTCCTTGAACTTGAGCTTGCAAGAGTAGTTGCCACTGCCCTTGATACGCATGGTTCCATAGTGGTCACAATAAATCTTACCAAGTATGATGTTGTATATGGAAGTGGTGACCTTGCTCCACTGAAAGGTCTCTCCATCCTCAAACTGCAGGGTGAGAACCCCAACAGGATCAAGCTGAATAGACCGCCCCCAAAACTTCCCTTTGAGATTGGAGTCAGCCCAGAACTTCCAGCCTCTTCCCTCACAGTGACAAGCAACTACCATAGGGTGGTGACTTACCTGAATAAAAGGCCAGTCAAGCATCATATCAAGGATAAAGAGAAAACCAGGATTCACTTTTATTTCGATAATATTCAACATCAATAGTAACTGTACATCTGGTTCAAGAATTAGTCACAATCAATTTAAAACATAAGGTGGAAGAGAGAGCATTACTTTTTCTGAGAAAAAACGAAGTCCTTTATCCGGATAGTCAGCCTCGTAGGTCTCCCCAAGGAGAGGGTTGAAGGGTTTGCACTGTCGACCTTCTGTTGAAGCATAACCAGATACAGCAAAAGCTGCGATGTTTAGAATTCTCATCAAATCGTTCCGCTGCAAAGTGAAAAATCCCATTATGTATAAATAAAAATGGCAACTCAATGACATCCTGATACAACATGAGAACCACCATAAATTGTTCCCACAAGAACCAAAAAAAATGGAACTAATTAAAAACAATGAAAAAGAGTTTTCAATAAACTTTCACTGACACAATATTAATTTTCTACAAATATATTCAAGGTCTGAAGACCTCATTCTCCATAACAAAAAAATAAAGGGCCTTAAACATGCTTATATCAAACAAGATAGTCCTCCAAAATCAAACAACCAGACAGGCTGGCAGACACAATGACTTTAGTACATTGCTAGTTCCCTATACGGGGATCACAATCACCAAGAACCCAAGTAATAGCTAAGTAACAAATTGAATCAGTGATAACAAACAAAACAAAGTAAAGGAAAGAAATTGATCCATTAATAAAAACAAAGAGCAAAAAAAGGAAAAAAAGTCTGTTGTAGTCCACCAATGCTGGATCAACCAACTACCTGGACTAAAATGTAACAAGCAGATCATGCTTTAAAACTGCTTTGTCACAAAAGAAAGCACAGCTGAAGACCTGACCTGCTTTCCCCATTCCAATGCCCGATCAACCAAGTATGAGTACTCCAAATCCTCAAAGCACTTCTGCAGCGAAGAGAGTGGTTCATTAAAATAAACAGGAAGGCAAACTCCAGACAAGTCCTTCCCGATATTGTCCTTGATAATTGACCACAGTCCAACAGGCTTCTCTTTCTCCTTTGGTTCTGGCAAATTATCTCTTCTTTTAACATATGGGTATTGAACTGTCCTGATGTCCTTCTCAAGCACATGCAAACGATCAGAACAAAAGGGGTCCTTATCATAGATACCAGCATTTCCTGTAGCTTCCCTACTCCGATAGGAAGCACTTCTTAAAGCATCTGCAGACAAAAAATCATTTGTATCAAAGAATAAACTGTCATCTTCATCTGATTCAACATCTCCTCCATCTTGGCTTTCATTGTCAGCATCAGAATCACTAGCACTAGCCTCTGACATTACAGAATAGAAATCTGTGACATGGAAAGAACATGAATATGAGTAAACTTTCAACACTCATATGAAGAATAAGTCTCATCAGAAAACTTAGAGCAAAGCAGGAATGCCTTTCAAACAATCTAGCTAAGTTTTCTTGTGGTTGAAATAGGCATTGTCGAAGCCTACAGTGAGGAAGAAGCCATGCACCATTAAGAACAAAACTCCACCAAAAGGGATCAAACGTAATGATTGAATGCTGTAGCCAATTCTGGCAGAAACCTTGCAAGTGTGCTTGTCTATTTTGTTTCAATATGCCAAATTGAGACAAAAATTTGAGTTACAAAATCACCAAGAAATTGATTAAACTTATTCTTCATTTAGAATTCCAAAATGATCTACAAGGTTGACTTGCTCCATCAAAATATCAACCAATCACTTTTTCCTTATATTTACCCAGCAATCACATGATGGAAGTATTTTCACACATATGGTTATGTAAACTGTTTAACCCATACGGCCTGATAGGTACAAACATCAAAACATCTTTCAAAATATGGAAATAACAGATATCCAAAAGCAAAACTAACCACTAAATCTTCTATTTGCTTGTCCACAATATGAATCACGTTCCTTTGTTTCATCTACTACAGTAGTTTCCAGCTCTATTTTCTCTGACTGCAAAACAATTTTAGGTGTGAAAATTACTCATCAATAAAGTTCTTCGTCACCATCATATGCATGAGAGATTGTGCATGCTGGAATATGAACAGAATACAAATTCATAAAATGATCGTCATCAAAGAAACATTACAATCAACTCTTTATAGTTCAACTTGCACAGCTTGCAGCAATACATTTCATTCACATAAACATAAAAATGAAAAACTTCTCTCTATTCCATGTCTCTGAAGTTCAAGGAATTTCTTTTTCCTATAAGCATATTTGAAATAAAGCATCTGGTGACATTACCAGTGCTTTATTTGAGATTCCAATTGATGTAGTGGCTATACCATACTTAAAAGAAGAATTCTCCTCTTTGAAACATGGTGTAGGTCAATCCGTTCTTCATTACTATGAAGCCTTTTTGGCCTAAGAATAGGTGTCTAGGGTAGATTTATTAATTTGATTAGTTAAAGTTTTGTGTGTGATTCTGTAAGCGAGCCGGGATTGTAACTTTCGCTAATTCCAGCAGAACAAGGGAGTTTGGTAGTTTGGTAGTTTTCCTATTTGTCAGTAGTCTTTAGTCTATGGTAAATTGTTCCCATCAGTTGCCTTTCCTCATTAACTAAGGGATGTTGATGTGAGTTTATTTCACGGTCTTAATCCTAGTTTATTTCTTAGTTCTAATCTCAGTAAATGAAGATGCAATGTCTTAATTTCTCAGAGTTGAGTAATGGAACAAATTTGAAAGTTTCAAAGTTAATTTATAGGCAATGATGCCAAGGTTTTCTTTTTTCCCCTAATTTTATTTTCTGCCTCTCCTTCTCTTCTCATTACTACAGTCTCTCCGGTTACTCTCACAGCCCAACTCAAACATCAAGTCAGCCCTCAAACCCTCATATTAGACCCCAACTTTCAAGCTTCAACCCTTTCCCTTCTAAAGCAAGCCCATAATCAGTTCCAACTTCATTCACATTAAACCCTTACATTAATTTTTACGTTTTTCAAATCTAATTTGGTCACAAAGAACTTGTGGGATGGAAATTCAAGACTTTCCTACATCAGCTTCAATATTGACACAGAACACCAAGCCTTTTAATTTTCAACGAAGTGGATGGGAGTTAATTTAAGGCTTGATGCCTAGGTTTTTTTTTCTCCTATTAGTTGATTTTATGTATCTTCTCTTTTCCCAGTATTACAGCATCTCCAATTACTTTCACAGCCCAATTTAAACATCAAATCAGCCCTTAAACCCTCGCATTAAACCCCTGTCCTTTCTAAAGCAAACCCATAATCAGTTCCAACTCCATGGACATCAAACCTTTACACTAATTTTTAATTTTTTTCTTTTTAAAAAAAATATGTCAACAAAGAAATAGTGCGATGAAAGTTCAAGACTGTTCTGCATCAGTTTCCATGTTCACACAGAACACCAATCCTTTTAATGTTCTAGACAGTGGCTGTGACAAGCAAGCTACAAGACAGAGAAGCATCTCACAGTTAAGATGAAGAAAAAATATATAAGCATTGCATCTGAGTGCTATATTCCACATATAGCTCCACTGATATAGTTGAACACATGCTCTTCTACTGGAGTGAACATCTCAAATTCAATTGAAACAATGATACCTACTTACTGACATTGTTGCACAGTAACCAACATGGACAAAGAGGAAAAACATTCTTGAGCTAAATTCAAGGTGAAAAATATAACAAAGTCTGAAAAATAAACACGAGATGTCCAGCTTCATTCTTATAAAATTCTGGAATGTCAAAGTACGTTATTCTCATGCTTGCAGATATACGAATTTAATATTGCACTGAACAAAAGGTGATAAACAAAAGAACAAAAGGCACCTCTAATTGCCTCAAAGTGTCCAACAACATGATGTGTTTATGTTGAAGAGCCTTCAACTGGTTTTGCATCCCAGAGAGTTCTGATAACATAATGGACTCACAGTCTTTGATGACTGTCTCACCAGCACCTTCCTGCACTAGCCGTGATCTTAACTTCTCGGTTGAAATGACAACATCTTCAGAAGGCAGAAAATCACTGCTTGTCAACACTCTAGGGAAAAGATCTTTAGCAGCCTGCAGGGCCTCAAGCCATGCAGCTCTATCTTCTCTCGATATGCAACGTAAATGAAGAGTTTTTGTTCCAGTGAATATGGTGAGCCTCTTATCATCTGATTTGCTAGCACGAACTGAAGAAACCTGCTTGCCAAATTAAGGTTAAAGTCCAAACAAGCTACCAAAAAAATTAAACAAACAAGCTACCACAAAAACTAAGGAATTAACTGGAAATAGGAATCGTAACACATAACTACATGATTACAGCCTCTTGTGTTGAATAAAATTAGTGAGAATATACGATAAGTGCATGTATCATGAGAGCAAAAAGCTTTTTACATCATGCACTCTACACGTCAATTCGACTACAGGCTTGAGGAATATTAAAAGAAAATCACAGTACGCATCAGACATAAATTACTGGATTCCGGAACACTTGAATATCAATATTAGTATGTTTAACCATCAGCTCATAATTTAAATGAATTTCCTAATGATTCACATTCACATAAACTACTATTAGTAATGCTTGACAAGAGACAATAATATCAAACAAATCAGCAGAAACAAACGGCCAAATATTAAACTCATTTCGTCATGATGCACACACGCATAAACAACAAAAAGCAAGGAAAAGTCAACAAAAAGAAACATAATTTTCTTTTCTACTAGATATAACAAACAAACCACCTTCAAGTGAATTTCGCCGAATGGCCTGCACTGTCTGAGCCGATTGCTACCACCACCACCACCACTGCTACAACTCCAATTGACTTTTCTCATGTACCTCAAAGAATCTTCTCCGATAACCCTAACTCCTTGGTCTCTACCTGCAGGACTCATCAATATCTTATCAGGTCCATGAATCTTATAATACGACAGCACTCCATCTTCAAGCATAAACCACCTAGACCTCCATCCCTTCCCATAATTCACCCATTTGTAAAGAATCCCCGCTATACTAGCGCCGCCCCCATTCACACTATACACCTTCGATTCTTCGATTTCTTGACTTCCGATCGATAGAAATTTGTCGACATCGCAAGACACCTGAGCTGAAAAACTCGGTTTCGAACTGTGATTTAGGCTTCTAAGTGAAGAATCAATTCCTAATTGAGACTGACTCACTGATTTGGCCACTACCGGGTTGGCCCGATCCCGATCGATAGATACCGGAGCAATGCAGCAGAGAGGATTCATTTTTTAGGTCGAGCTCCGATTTGGTGTGGTTCGGATCGGATAGCAAATGCAAGAACCCGACCGGTGCTCCACGGTCAGAGAAAAGGAACCTTTCGTAAATGACATAAGATCTAGGAGAGATAATGAATTGAAGAGGAGAAAGAGAAGAAGAAGAAAGAAGGGAGAGAGATTATATAAATTTATGAAGGGGTAGCTAAGCTAGCTGTAGGCTACATAATGCCATGCTAATCATGATAATAAAAGAGGAGTGAGAGGAGTGGAGGATGGAAGGAGGAAGCGCAGTGCGCATACTGGATCCCATTTAAGGCAATGCTGCTGCTGCAGTGGTCAGTAATGCAGAGGGGTAGAGTGAGGACAGTGTTGAAGTAACAGTGTAGTGTGGTCTCGAAGCGTAGGTTAAGCTAAATTGCGCTTTTAAAAAAATAAAATGAGAGAGAGAGAGAGAGTAAGGGCGCATGATTTGATGATTTGATTGGGGTGATTTTGTAATTATCATTTTGTTGTTGTTGTTGTTTGGTTTGAATGAGAGAGAGACGTCTTGTGTTGGGTGGGGTCGTAATGGTTGTGGAGAGACAGCTAACGTGCGCCTTTTGGGCAGCCGGGGAGTGATCGTGGAGAGGTAGGGAAGTGTTTGTCCGTTGGGCAAGAGCAAGGATTCCTTTTTATGGGCCCCGGCCCATTGTCTTCAAAATTCTGTGAAGATGACTTGGTTAACCCTGATTTTTGTTTTCATTAGTTTTGATTGTGACGTTTCAATCAAGGGTATTTGAGTATTTTGAACTTGTTAAAACGATGAGCGAACTGTTTCAAATGGTAGTTTAGCAATCGATAGTAGCACCGTAAAATATAATTTAGTCCCTCTCGTTTCGTTAAGAGAAATGAATCTTTTAGTCTCTTTATTTTAAAACCTAATCATTTAATTCTTCATATTTAGTCTTTTTATTTTAAAAATTAATCATTTAATTCTTCATATTAAAAGTGTTTACAGAACCATTTAATTTATAAGTAATACCTAAAATATCTTTTGAATATATAAATCCACGACAAAAATGAAACAAACTCACTTTTTATCTCTCTTGTTAACTAGAAATTTTGTACCTAAAAAAATTTGTGAATTTAGTCATGTAATAAGAGGCCTATGGTCAATCTGGCCACATCATTAGTTAAAAAACCATGAACCACCATATCAAAATTTAAACAAAGCCATAAATCTCATTCGCAATTTGGTTTTCACTTGCTTAAAAGATTTCCAAACAAGTCTTCCTCCATGATCGGCCAATGTCACCATTGCCTTCCTTTTTTGTGAGTAGAACATTAAGGAATTTATGCTAGGCTAACCTTAAACTATTAAATTGCAAAATTAGTTTTAATCGGATTAAATGTGCGGTTTACGATGATAGGAAGGTATTCTTTCGTTGTCTCGGGTTCAACAATTTTTGCAAGAAGTTAAAGAGCGAGCCAACATTGCTAGGAACGAGCCGCTTAAAGGATTATGTATCATATGGATGTGTAGAATAAAGCAAAATTTTCTTTCATCTAAGGGTCCAAGATTATGCTATTAAATCAACTAACCATATATTTATAAATTAAAGCGATGAATACGAATTTACCTCTTGTAGCACGGATATAAACCTTTGTAGAAAAGAGCCATTTAAGTGTCCAGACCTCCATCGATAATCCACGCAATCCAAGCACCCATAAAAGAAGCACTTAAAATTGATATAGTGCTAGTTTCATCTTTTCCGACTTGTTTAGTGTTTCCTATAGAAATCTAATTATGGTGATTTTGCGACAATTCAAAGAGAGAGAAAAGAAAAGTGGCTTGCTAGGGTTAGGGAGAAAACAATTTTCTCCTAGCTTGTATTTTGAACCGTGTGTCCCTATTATTTTATGTGCTGAATTTTTCATTTCATTTTCATTCTTGTCGAATTTTCTCTCTTTCAAAAAACTTGCCTTTTGTCGCACCTCTCCTCCTATTTATAGGAGGAGAGTTTCCTTATCTTCCAAGGACAAGGAGAGGGGACAACAACTAGTCCTTATTGGACTTTTAGTTGTTGCTTTCTAATCGTCTAAGAATTAGGAGTTATTTAATACGTGAGTTTTTAATCTTTATCTATAAAACATTCATCCTTATCCAATAAGGTTCATGTTTATCCTCACACCAAAATATGTTTTAAGCTTTTAATTAAACCTATTAACCTAAAATTATTTTTTCCTAATTAATTAATTTGGACTATCCAAATAAATTAAGTTAGATAATTTTAGATGACCCATATTAAAAAATAAATTTTCAAAATACCCTTAAACCAAAATTAGAAAACTCATTTTCATTTTATGTTATTTACTTTCAAATTTGGAACTAACTTCCAAATTAGTTCCAAATTAAGAAATTAATTTCAAAAATAGGAAACTTTTTATTTTCAAAAACCTTTTTTTCAAAATAGGAAACTTCATAATTGGTAACTTTTTTCAATATCTTTGCTTCTTTTTAATCATGTGAATATTTAAACTTAAGCATGTGACTCAATAGGCTCATAAATATATTGGCAATGTATCAAAAATAAAAGACACTTTTTTTATCTATTGATATATAAGTCAAGATTGGCCTCTAACAATCATGACTACCCAATTCTTTAGGAGGATTAATTAATCCATAATTACCTTTCACGAGTATGGTTATCATATAATTTATCCATCATATCAACTTATCACGAGTGTGATCTCGAACTTGGTTATTAGTCTCATTCGATTATGATCACATAAGTTTTCTTCGATTTCCAAATGTCTTGGCTCGTAGACTAAACCAATTATGCTTTATTAGGGTACTCTTATCGTGGTCATAGATTTCATGAGCAGTTATTTATCGAAATGCAATATGATAACTCATTTAGCATACAAGAAATGACATATCCTATCGTAGTCATCCACCTACCTCCATTAGATTCCTAGTGCACCCAATGAATCGCCCATGTTCAACCCTTTACCGAGTTCATCGAAATGAGTATTAAAGTACATAAATCCTCAAATGAGATAACCGTGATGACTTCAAATCTAAGGACTAGTTATACCCATCTCGTATAAGATTCCTATAAACTAAACCAAATGGGTTCTTACGGTGAGTTAAGTCTAATGATATATTCTCTAATATAAATTACCTAAGTGCTTACTTTGGCATCATTATGCTAATGCGTGTGAGATCTCATACTCGCTATCATATAGTATGAGCATAATACTCATAAGTCTAACCGTATCTAGTCAATATTCATTTTTTACAATGCTACGACTTGAGACATTTAATGATATCATTTATGTGTATTAGTGTTTGTCTCACATTTTTCGATCAAACACTATTGCAAATGCATATCATAAGGACTTTTATCTAATTCTACTTAATTAATAAACATAAAACATAAGAATTAATAGAAGAACTTCTTTATTATTAATAAAATAAATGATATAATAATACAATAACTCAAACCTATCTAAAACATTGTTGGATCTTAGGCACCTACACTAACACCACCTTCCAAAATCACACTCGATATTTAAAATATGTCACCCTAATTATTGCCCAATGCCTATCAAAAAAAATTATGGAAGAGGAATTAATTCTCGATGCTTGCAATTTGGATTTTAAATGTAATGAAAGGAAAGATTAGAAAACGAAGAAAAAAAATTCAAAACCCACTCATTTATCATAAACTAAATCCTAACTCAAATCTCAAGTCTTCATTACAATCGGGATAATAAAAAATATCATCAACTCTACATAAAAAATTATACCAAAACCCATGATAGTTTTTATACGCACTAGCCAATGCTAAGTTCTTTCTAGTTTTAGAAGAAGACAATTGAGAAGAAGAGAACAGAAGTTGCAAAATCCAAAAAGAAAAGTTATAAAATCAAGGAATAACAACGAGAAAAATAAAAAAGGAAAAGATGAAGAGAAACACAATTTTAAGATTTGTCATTAGTTTTATATAAATAAAAGTGTTATTTGAAAGTAAAAGATGTTCGGATAAGAACACATCGTCACTTTTCTAACGAGTTAACAAATGAAAGGACGAAGTTATTAACGAAATTTAAATATAACGAGACTAAAAATTTAGTTTTTGAAACAAAAAAGACTAGAAAATTATTTTTCTCTAAACGAGAGGAACTGAATTATATTTTTACTAATCATACATTTGTCACTATTGTTTTTTAAAAAAAAAATGAAAAAATGAAAAAGCTTGAACCTTAATGGTCGGCTTGGTATCGGTTTCTAGCTTATTGGTTTTGTTCACTTTAGAACTATCTTCTATTTACTCGATTCAATCCATCCTCGTTACGAAACACAATTGAGTTTAGGCCAATTAATTTTTATCATGGTTCCCTAAAACTTCATAATTAAAAAAAAAAAAAGGATAAAGAGCGGTTTACTATAGTGTAATTGTAGACTCAACACCATAGATTTTTTTGTGTTTTTCAAACAATTATATGTGAATTGTACCAAATTTTGAATTTTAGTTCTTGATATTTTCAAATTTTTTGTTTTGATCCATAACTTCAATTGTAACACACATTGATCTCTAGATGTAGAAAAGCGAGAGAAATAAAGAAAGAAAAAGAAGGAGAGAGAAACCATTGATCAAACTCATTTCAACCATTTTGAAAAATGATATTCTATTCAATTTATTTATCTTGAAGAATAAAGTTTATTTATAGTAATTTCGAGGCATAAAATGATTAGAAAAGCTAGATTGAGACTTAAAATATTATGAACTTTTAAATTTGATTTGATTTTTTATCGTTTTTTATGTGTAATTGAATAATTTTTAAGATTTCAAAAGTGTTTTTTAATCTCATTTCAATATTTTTTAGGTGTTTTAAAACAAAAATGATGTACGGATTGGATTTTGAGATCTAAAAACTCAAAAACTTTTTTTTTAGATGAATTTTAGTTCTCACAAAGTTGCACATGGACGATGCATCGTTTATTTTGTTTTGTTTTTATATGGTCGAGGCATTTGAGCTTGCTTCTACGAGCCCAAAGGCGTAGGCTTGACTTTTTTTTATTTTTTTATTATTATTGATTTTTATGCTAAATTTATGGAGAAATAATCATTATCTTTTGGTTTTTTTTCATAAAATCTGGAGATGAAAAAATAGGATAATTTCTTCGATTTGTCATTTTTTAATGAAAACATCCAACTATTTCCTTGATTTTATTTTTAAATAATGTTATTTGTTAAGCAAATATGATTTTCTTTCCTCTATGTATGAGTTTTTTTTTTTTAAATAAAATAGAAGGTGATTGTTTTTCTTTTTTCTTTTTAATACATTAATATAATTTATGTGATGATTTTTTATAATTTTTAAATGAGAGCAACATACGCGTGTGTTTGTATGTAGATAGAAATCTATTTTATATACTTTATCTCGCTAAAAAAACCAATTAAAAATAAATTTTATATGTATTATTTGCTTTTTATCAATGTAATTAAAATTTATTCAAATCAATTTATAGTAGTTTTTATTTCGAGTCTATTAATTTAAATTTCATTTAATGTATTCCATGCAAATTATATATTTATATTTTTGGTTTTTGGTTTTTGGTTTTATACTACACACTATGAACTCAATGAGTATAGTCATGATGTATAAAAATAAATAAATAATATAAAAAAAGATCAATGATTTTATTAGATATGCATCTACCAACCATTTACTATTAATTTTTTGGTCTTTTGAATTTTTAAAAGAACCCTTCAAATATTTAAATACAATTTTTAATGTTATATTATTGATTATTTTGCGATTATATATATATATATATATATATATATATATATATATATATATGCTTCAAACAAAAAAATCTCATAAGGATTAAATGAGAACAAAAAATTATTTATTTGTTAGTTTTTTACATTAATTCAAACTTTTATATTTCTAAAAATATGATCAATAACAATTAATTGATATGGTAGGTCTAATTTTTTTGTTTCTTGCATCATGATTTGATAATAGGAGTACCATCAAGTTAGTTTTCATGGTAGGTGAGATTAAGTTTTTTTTTTTTTTTTTTTTTTTTTCAAATAATCTTAAAAACGCATCATTCACATTGATCTCATACATTTTAAAAAGTTTAATAAAATTTTTAAGATATTGACTCTAAAATTTGAACCCAAAAAGTCAAGAAAGTAGACCTTTAAAACAACAATCTAACATTAAAATTTAATACTTTAATGATAATGTTGTTTTTATATAATTATCATACAAAATTCACTTTAAAAAATACCTATCACTGGATTGATGAGAATTACTAATAAATATAATAGAAAATGATTTTTCATTAAATAAATCATGTTATACAATTATGCAATAATAATATTACTCTATTTTTACTAAATGCATTGATAGTAACTTAACCATTCTTATTTCTTCATTAGAGGTGCCAAGTTTTTTTTTTTTTTTTAATTGCTTAATTTAGACTTAAAAAAATGACAAATTGTTCTCTTTCAAATTTTTCCTTTTTTTATAGCTTTTGAAAGGGCTCGGAGCTTCATTAGAAATTCTAAGGCTTACGTAGAGTTAGGCTTGGGTTAAGACGTTAGCACAAATAATCAACTTTGTTGTGCAAGATTTAATATGAAACTAATTTAAATACAATAGAAAATGATTTTTCTTATTGTAAAACCAAGATCTAAAGATAATAAAATTAAGATAATAAAAAAGAACTCAATTCTCCAAGTGGAGAGAATGTTCGATTAGAAGACTTATTGTTCTCACACACAAAAGGAGCACAATTAATTAATAAAATATTGACACAATAAATAAATAAATTTACTGTAAATTAAAATAAATAAAGAATTGGAATTTTTTACCTTGATCATTAGAAAAATTAATGATTAAAATCACATTATTATATTTCGCGAGTATAAAGATGATCGAACCATCAAAATAGTTTTACCATAATTTTTAGGTGATTGACTTGAGACACAACTAGGTTGCTTTCTTGAGATGATACGCACCATTGGTCGAATTTATCCGATGCAATGGATAAAGAATATATTGTACGTCGTCTCAAGGATATAACAAGCTCGGCCACTTTACCGTGTCTTAATGAATTTGCACTATTTGTAAGACTTGAACTCTACAAATAATATCACCACTCTTACCCAAAGATAAAACAAATAAGTATTATATGATTTTATAGTGAGAGATTAAAAAACAAGAAAATTGAAAGAAATATTTTTCTTTCTAAAAGAATGTTGCTTTTCTTTACTCTAAACAAGAGAATAAGAATGTTGCTATTTGTTTTTCTCTTTTTATTCCAAGTGCACGTAACATAAGGGAAAGGTCCTATATATAAGCTATAGGAATCAAAGCTGTTTGGGAAGAAACAATTGCAATAATTAAGTGCAATTAATTATCATAAAAAAGATAAAAAACTTCTTTTGTAAATGATATAACTCGTTTGTTAATTTGTTAAAATAAACATATCTATTATAACCGTAACATTTTAATGTATCTCATTAACCATGCATTGAATACTTTATTATTATTGTTGTTTAATAATAATAAGCATAGTGTTATATATTTTATTAAAAAATTATCCAACAATAACTCTCATTTATTTTACTTTTTTTTGTTTTGTTTGAAATGAATTTGGATGAGGTTTTTCCTAAAAAGTAAAAAACTCTTTTTTCTCAAAGACATATTTTAGTGATTTTTCAAGAGTTTTTAAGCATACAAAATACTTTTTCAACTATAAAAGTTTAACTAAAGCTATTTGTTTAAGTGTAAATAGATTGTTTTATTTGACAAGAAATATATGAACTTCATTTCGATGTATTAAAGTTAGTTTATTTATATTTTTATTGTAAAAAATTGCTTGAGAATGCTTGCTCTGTTCGCAATATTTTCAAATTTGAATTTTATGATCTACATTGAGTAAAATTTATTTTTTTAATACATCAAATCAATATAAACATTTCTTAGAAAAAAATAGTTTTAATTAATCATAAAACTGGTTTAAATACATTCTTTATTATGGAAAAAAATGAGAGAAAATAATAGTACTACATAATATAAATTTTTATCTATGAAACAAATAATCATTAAAATTAGAATCTGAAAATAAAATCTCCTACTTGCTTTTCTCTTTGATCTACTAATTCAATGGGATTGTTCATTATTTTGCACTCTTATCGTGCATAATTTGATGGAAAAAGTACTTTCCTATTTTTAAAAGGTCAAGGGTCCAATTGAGATTAATCTAATGGTTTAGGGAAGTTTGTACTATGGTTGTTGAACTGGCGCCCATTACCGTACACGTAGAAACTTTCCACCGCAGACGTCACAGTCACACCGCACCGCGGTGCCGCCACTCTTTTTTTAACATTCCCGAAGTCCCACAAAGTTTCTTAAATGAAACAAAATGATAAACGATCGAAGGCTAAAAATCTTACGGTCCAAAATCAATGTAAGGTAAATTGTACGAAGAGTCAAACTCGGGTGAATGAACTGTGGTACTAATATTTAAAAAACACAATCCTGTAGTTTCAAAATGAGCAATTGAATCCCTGACTTTTTAATTGTAGCAGCATTAATCCCTCTCTAAAATTAGTTCCAATTTTTCTCAAACTCAATATTACCGAGGAGTTGAATTTGCCCAATAAAAAACTGAACATATATCAATTTAACGGCAATTAATTATGATTTTAGATAGAGGGATTAATGTTTTGTTTGGTTCTATTGTAATTATAAGTAAATCAATCAGTTTAATTGATTATATGAGAAGTAAATAAAACCATAGTTTTTCAATAATCATCTTTTACATTTTTTTTTTTGAGATAACGTATATGTTTTTTCCTTAAAGAAAAATTTTTACCAAATATTTTTACGTTTAAAATTTTGATAGAAATTTGTTTTACTTATAGGCACATTAGGGCCACTATGAGCCTAATGTTGCCACTAACTTGAAATGGAAAGGAGTGCATTGCCTATTTTGAAACTAGTGGAATTTGTTTGTCATAATTTGAAACCACAGGGACTTAAAAATCAATTCTCCTTAAAAAATAAAAAAACCCACAGCGCAAAAGGAGAGAGAGAGAGAGAGAGAGAGTCCTAGTTGCTGTGTTGTTCAGTGAAAAGCTTGGATTGGATTGCGAAGAAAAGTATCCAAGACAGCAAGAAAAGAGACGAGATACACGAGACAAGACTTCCTCTCGTTAATAGTAGTGGTAGCAGCAGTAATAATAATAATAATAATAATATCGATAAAAGGATGAAGAAATTGATGAGGAGAAATCATCTTACGTTGTTGAGTTTATTACAATCTTGTTTTTGAAATGGATACACCATTTTTATTCACCAAATTACCGTTGAGTGGCTGCTTTCACTTGGGATTCAAGTCTACCGAATCATCATCATTTTCATCGTCTTCTTCTTCCTCCTTTTCGCGCTTCTCTCTCGACCATGACCTTCTCTCTTAAACCTTCTCTTGAATCTCTGATCCCTCTCCACCTTCACCACTATTCCTTCTCTATCTCCCATGGATCCCACCTCTCGTCCTGCCGTCGTCATCGACAACGGCACCGGGTACTGTCTCCTTCCTTTTCTTTATATAGATGGGCACAGTTGTTTGATAAAATGGCCCAGTTAGTTTTTTTTTCTTCTCTTAATTGTGTGTTTTGTGATTGTTTTGAAGGTATACTAAGATGGGTTTTGCGGGAAATGTAGAGCCGTGTTTTATTTTACCATCAGCAGTCGCAGTAAACGAGTCGTTTTTAAATCAATCGCGAACTTCTTCTTCAAAAGCGAATTGGCTAGCGCAGCATAGTGCAGGGGTTATGGCCGATCTAGATTTCTTTGTAGGAGAGGAGGCGCTTGCCAAATCGAGATCTAGCAATACTTATAATCTTAGTTATCCAATCAAACATGGTCAAGTTGATAATTGGGATGCCATGGAAAGGTACTGGCAGCAGTGTATTTTTAACTATTTGCGTTGCGATCCAGAGGATCATTACTTTTTATTGACTGAAAGCCCACTTACTGCACCGGAGAGTCGTGAGTATACCGGTGAGATTATGTTCGAGACCTTTAATGTTCCTGGGCTTTATATTGCCGTCAATTCTGTGCTTGCTCTTGCAGCTGGTTACACAACATCCAAGGTTGGTCTTTGAGATTTTTTGTTCATTTACAATCATGCAAATTTGATTAGAGGCTGGAGTCAGAATGAAAATATTGGTTCTTCAGTTTGGGAGTTATTTTTATTTTGTTGAAAATAGGGTTTTGCATTTTGATTTGGGACTTAAAAATGGGGTTTGAAGTGACAAATGGGGGAAACGTGTTATAGGTCGCTCTGCTCGTAAGTTCATTGTAATGTGAATTTTAGTTGGTTTAGTGGAATTTTCAAGCTATCTAATTGAATGTGAATAAGTTTACTTCTTTATTTTTTCCCTATCATTAAATTTTTGGGATGAATTATTTGGAATATGTATTAATCTATTGTGCATATGTGTGTGTGTGTTTCATGAACCAATCATTAAACGAAATTACGCAAGTCAACAAAAATCATTTACTTTCCTTTTGCTAAAATTAATATACCTCTCTTGATATAATGATTTCTGGCAGCTAAATCTGAAAACATAAACTAGCTGGTTTTCTAATTTATATTGCTCTAGGTTAAGCACTTTGAATTGGTAGCATGGTGTGCTCTTTGAGAGAGATGATTGTCATTTTTCTGGGGTGGGGTGGGGGGAGGGGAGTGGGGCTGATGAATTCAGTACGACCATGTGTCCTTTGTACCCCCTTTAGTATTTAACTGAAATTTTAAGTTTTCATTTTCATCTTGCTCTTAAGTTGCGTGATAATGATCTCTTCCTTTGAGATTGACCTACAGTTTTCGTTAGTGTGAGATGACAGGGGTTGTTGTGGATGTTGGAGATGGGGCTACTCATGTTGTACCTGTTGCAGATGGTTATGTTATTGGGAGCAGCATTAAGTCAATCCCTATTGCTGGCAAAGATGTTACTCTGTTTATCCAGCAGCTCATGCGGGTAAGTTGGTTTTGACTTCTAGGAGTGGGTTTTGGTGGTATTGAGAACTCTATAGATGTACTTCCTTCGTTGATGGCTCCTTTTTCATTGCGTTGGTTTATTATTCGCTGTGAAATAGAGGAAAAGTAAGGAAAGACATGGGAATGGGTGGGCAGGGAGCAGAAAAGTTATTTATTTGTTATTTTTCTCCTTTTTTAAGGGAATGTTAAAAAAAAAAAAAACCGAGAAAGGAGCATGTCCGAATCTTAATTGAGAGCTTACTGCTTTTGCTGAAATGTTCTTGACATGCCTCAACATTTTTTGTCCTCTCAGAATCTTATCTGTTTTAGAAGAAAAAATATTATGGATCTGAAATTGATTTTATCAAACGCTCTCAGTTTTGAACAAAACAAATGCAAATAAGAAACTGTCTTCCTGACCTTTGAACATGCTATCTAGTTCTATGAGCATGACCATTTGAACCATTTAATGGGAGGTATGGATCCTAATTCTGCAGTTTTCATGCTGTGATACCTAACGCTTGTCTTGCATTGGTATCTGAGGCAAGATTGCAGTCCACGCTTTAGACTCATTTTCCTACGACTTGATTGTTGGATTCAAATGCATCATCTGCACTCTCATTAGTCAAACTCGAACTTGAATTTGTCACCATCTGTCATGGATCCATCATCAATCTACTGTGATTTAGCTTTTAACTTGTTGCTTTGCATTGTATTAATTTTGATTGTCTACTCAGTCCTTGCTGTTTGCAAAAATTATATTAACTCGGTACGGAGTTCTTTAGAGGCAACCATGGGTTTTCCTATTTATAACTTCTGTCACCTTTTGGATTTTTATGCTTCTGTGTACAGTTTTGCAGCAGTAGATTTTTCTTCATCCCCTTGACTTTGTGTTAAATAAAAAACCATTTAGGTTTTACTGTTGGTGAGAGAGACAGACAATTTGTATTCGAGGGCCTCTCTTGTTTTCTAATCCTTATAGATACTCATTCATAAAGTCATCAAATACTTCTTGAAGTACTATCCATATATTTGTATTTGCCATTTGAGACTCCATTCAGGGATTGTATGAAAATAGTATTGATTGAATTTTCTTTTTTGTATTTTGTGTTGTGTAGGAAAGAGGAGAGCATGTACCCCCAGAAGATTCATTTGAAGTAGCTCGGAAAGTGAAGGAAATGCATTGCTATACTTGTTCCGATATTGTCAAGGTCATTTCTGCTTCTATTAGAACTTTGAGTCGAAAGATATATTGATCTGTATTGCCTTCATACTTTTTGATAGAGCATGAAAGGTTTCATTGGAATTCTGCTGTTCTGCCATATCACATATGCTTGGATCTAGAATAATATAATAACATCCCTGGTTCTTAAAATGATCCAGGAGTTCAACAAGCATGACAAAGAACCAGCAAAGTATATTAAGCAATGGAGAGGTATTAAACCAAAAACAGGGGCACCATATTCCTGTGACATTGGATATGAACGATTTCTTGGTCCTGAGGTTAGTTCTATCTTTATGAGCATGATATTTTCCTGTGCGAGCAACTTAACTTGTTCTATTGGATGGCAAGCCATGGTTTTCACCAAATTTAGATAAGAAACAGGCTTGATTTATGTAATATCACTGATGTAAGTAACATCTTGTTCCTCGGACAAATTCCACTGGATTTGCTTATGAAGCCAAAATCATAGGAACTATTTATTCTTTAATTTTCTTTAAGAATTTCTTCACAAGTTAAATACGCATTTGCTGTTGTACGGCACAAGAGAGCAATCTTGCTCTTTGTTTATAATCATTAATGAGATGTCTATCCATTCTTCTCCTCATGGCATTTCATCCATATATGTTATGCAGTAATACTGTTGGTGTATTCTTGCAATCACTATTTGTCTATTTCTACTTTATTGAAATCATAGTAATTAGGATATGTAGATGCCACAGAAACTCAATATCATGAAACTCTGAAATTTAATTTCGCCTCGATCTTCTTGAATATCATGCCACTGTTCACATTGAAACTCAATATCATCCTTCTTCTTCTTCTTGTTTTTTTTTTTGAAGGATGGAACTCAGTATCTTTGTAGGTAACTGGAGATGGTTTCTTATTTCACGAAAAAAATATAGGAATATGAGAGTTACTTTTTAGTATATGCTGAGTGTTTAGTGAGCATCAGTTTAATTTTTTCCTTGTGCATACTTTCTTATATACTGTTTGCCATTGTACTTTTTTTCTGATTTTTTTAACTTGTTCACCAGGTATTCTTTAATCCTGAGATTTACAGCAGTGACTTTACGACTCCTTTACCAGCTGTGATAGACAAGTGTATTCAGTCTGCACCTATTGACACGAGGAGGGCTTTGTATAAGGTGAATTATGCAGACTAGGAAATAATAGTTCAAAATAATATATTTTACCCTAATAGTTCGGAACAATAAGAGAACTTTAGATGAGATTGTAAATTGGTAATTTTCAAAATTTGGCATGAGCTATTTCTTCTGACAGAGCTGTCAATTGGTAATTGCAATTGCTTGAGTGACTGCTAAACTGCACCTATGCACTCTTGTATTTGCTCGTTATCTTTCTTTTGTACTTATTAGAAATCATTGGTTTTTATTTTCAATTTAGAATATAGTGTTGTCTGGAGGATCAACCATGTTCAAGGACTTTGGTAGAAGATTGCAACGGGATTTGAAGAAGATTGTGGATACACGCGTTCTCGCATCTGAAGCTAGGCTTGGTGGGGAAATAAAAGTAAGCATTTTAGAGTATACGCACACAATCAAAGATGTTTTCAAACGTTTAATATTTCTTCTATTTTTATTCAAACGTTTAATATTTCTTCTATTTTTATTCATGTTGCGACTAGTGCAAAAATCTTGAACATGTTTATTGTTTTGGGTCTCTAGTCACAACCAGTGGAAGTGAATGTAGTCAGCCATCCTATCCAGAGATTTGCGGTTTGGTTCGGCGGTTCGGTACTAGCATCAACGCCTGAGTTTTTTGCGGTAAGAATTTATTTGTCCAGTCCATTTTCTAATATATATGAAAGCTTACAATACTCTTTTTTCCCCTTGTATTGTACACTTCAACTGCCATCTTCTTTGGATTCAAACTATGTTTCCCTGCGGTAGCCTGTTGGGCTAGAAATTGAAGAATTTTGTGCTATGACTTTTCACAGTTGAAATTTTATGGCATGTTTCATTGTACAAACAATTTTCATTTTCCTTCCTCTTATTATCTTTGCGTTCATTTTTCCAAAGAACAACGTAAATTTAATTGTTAAAGTTGAAAACTAAATTCCTGAAACAATTGCTCTCATTAAGAAATTGAGAGAATAATGAAGTAGTTATCTGCATATTTCATCATTTCGATAATTTGAATATCCTCTTTACATATTATTGTTGGTGTTTTTAATGTAAAAACTGCTTGACGCATGCAAAAAGGACTATTTTTTGTTGGATTAAAACAGATTATACCTACACTAGTGCCAAAACAATTTGAAAACAATCATTTTGACACTTCACATAGATATAGTATGCGACATAGAGAAGGGGCAATTGTGTGCTTTTAAATTCATAGAAAGGAAGACATGAAAATGACTCACATGTATTAAAATTTGATACAAATTTGAAATTTGAAAGATTAGTTTGTAAGTTTTTTTATATTATTATAGTTGATTGTTTTTTTTTTTTTTTTTTGTCAAGAAAAAGGTCTCATTTTCTGTAACTAAGCTATCCTTTAGTTTGTCATCATATTGATATGGTGCTCCTTAAATTTCTGCAAGTTAAAGATAAGTTCACCACTTGTTCCTGTAACTAGTTCATGAACACATAGGCAAGCTCCCTCTATCAGATCTAATTAAGATTTAATTGCAATCTTTTCATATTCATTTGAATGCTTGAAATTATGGTGCAAGTTGAGATAAAATGACAAATTTAATGTTGATTGTTTTCTTGGTGACTGCTGCCTGTTTTTTTGTTGAATGTTGATCTGGCATGCATTTTGCTCATGGCTTGTGGACTCTCCTTCTCAAGCTAGTGCTTCTTTAGATGGGACTAGTTGTTGTTTTTCTTATTATTGTTATTATCAGAGTATTATTTTGATCGCTTTCATTACCAGTATTGCTTTTTAAGGGAAATCAGACGTTTGTTTTCTGAAACCGGAGGTATAGAAAAAACTATAATGATTTTATGAGCTTCACAAATTTGGCTTTCACTTTTACTGCAGAATGAAATTTGTGAGGTGTAATCAAGCAGTTTTGAGAAATTAATTCTGCTTAGCTTTAGAAATGCAGGCTGTTTGCTGCCGAGTCCTTTTTTGGGATGGGTTTAAATAGATTCTACTTCTTCTTTGTTTTGTAGCTTTGATGCCTATTTAACGGCACCATTGGTTTGGTTAAACATTCATATCTGGTTAACATTTGGATGGTAGACAATAACAGTGTCTGCTTCATGCACAGGCCTGCCATACAAAAGCAGAATACGAGGAATATGGAGCAAGCGTATGCCGCACAAATCCTGTTTTCAAGGGAATGTATTGATGCAAAAACCCAATTGGGCAGATCTTTTACCAGGCAAATTTAGATGGCATTGTTCCATGGAGTGTCATCATTTCCACCTCTATCATTGCCATGATTCACTTCCCTCGGCCCAAATTTTACTTGGTCTTCATGTATATTCACAGATTGCAGGAGGTGGTGTAAAATATGGATGCCCAGTCGTATTTGTTAGATAAGAAGATGGGTCCTTGTATCGATTCTTTCATTGGTTAGCTGCAGCCTCCTCTTTAGAAGTCAATAGGATGCAATTAATTATGTTATTCGTGGGCACCCTGCTGGTGCTTGATGACCCGATAGGAAATAATATCCTGTAGGGAAACATCGTTTTGAGCTGAATTTTTAGTCTTCGGCTCTTTAGAATATGGTAAAGATTTATATATTTTTTTCTTTTCCATTTGGTTGTGACAAAATGTATTCATTCGTTTGCATGAACTGCATAAGTGGAAGTACTAATTTGAGTCAGGAATATGTTCACCTGCATTTCCTCTATCCTTTTTGAGTTACCGAATTTTGTGTACTGACATTATCTATCATACAATGATGTTCATTTATTATTATTATTATTATGATCTGTCGAGTGTTTGCAGTCCCTTACCCTCTTGTACTTGCCTAATTATTTTCTGGTGGGAGATGTCTTTTCTAGAAGCAGAATCAACAGCACTTTTGATTGATCTAATAGTTTGTAAATAAATTTTGAAGTATAGTGCTGATTTGTTCAACTTGAAGAGGTTGATCATAATTGTAAACTGCAAATAGCCACTAATCCTATGTAATCTGAATGTGTATTATGTTTTATCCCAAAAGCAAATCTTATCTTCACCGCTCAAAAGCTTAAAATCCAGGTTATTAGTACCGCTCTCTATTCATAGTCTTACGTCTTTTCATTTCTATCCGAATTGACATTCGAAAATTACAATAATTATAAAATATCTTGTTTTTTTTTGTTTCTTTCTAAAGTTGCCCCTCAATTCTCCCATGAATCTTGAACCCTGACATTAAATTACATTTCCACCCTAATATATTCTACACCCACCACTCAATATTTGAATCCCATTTCCACTCTGCTTAATGCTTAATCTTCCTTTTAACCATGTACCAAATATTGATTTGCTTGTTTAGCAAATTGCTACTTTGATCAAAAGAACAAAATAAAGCATAAAATGTAGTCTGCTATCGAGAGTGACGTAGGAGAAATTATAAAAAGAGTATCTCAGATTGATTTATCATTTTTTTTTTTTTTATATGGTAATAGACATGAATTGTTGGTAAGGCTCAAAAAATCAAATTCTTAAAATGAATTAAAAATTAAATTAATTTAGAAAATAGTAAATTTAATTTTGATGGATACTAAAGCCGACAAAAAATACTCTAATATCTATAAATATATATATATATATATATATATATATATATATATATATATATATATATATATATAAAGAGAAAAATAGTGGATTAAAACCTCTAATTTTATCCTTGTGTTTGCATCAATTATTCAATTATATATTCTGTCATTATATGTTTTTTTCTCTCAATTACCATCCTATGTCGTCCCATTTCATCTGATTCTGTCTTTTTTCTTTCTGGTTAGTATTGCTGAAGTGGATATTTAAATTAATAATACAAGTAGGATAGTGTTTCTGTAGTTGACTTTTCCTTCGTACTATTAATATTGAGGTGCGATTTCAAAAATTAAAAAGTAAGAGGGAGAAATTAATACTAAAATTAGAATTATGGACTTAGTTGTAATTTTTGAAAGAAAAAGGAGGATAGAAAATTAAAATCTCCCTGGGCAGTTAGAATAGAAGTTGCAAGTTGGAAGAAAGGGCGAGACAAGAGAGGGGGTAAAACTAGCGTGTTTGGTGGTTCTCTGTAGCTAGCCTAGACAAAGTAAGCCAAGCATGATTCGATTTTCTGTAATATTTCCATTTCGTTTTTATTTATTTATGTTGGAATTTCTTGCTTCAATCTATAATAATAATAATAATAATAATTGTTTGTAGTTGGTAGCAGTACTGTCTGTTTCTTTTGCTGTGAAATTAGGTATGGGTGTGTGATTTTTGTTATGTTTTTGAGATGGGCTAAGAGATTTTTATGTGTTTTCATGACATGGGTTTCAGTGGGTACTGTTTACTTTTGATGTAAAGGGGAAGCTTTTGTTTTGGTATCTTTTCATGTAGGTGGAGATAGAAACTGAGAGGTTATTTTGATATAAACATAGCCAGTTTACAAGGATTTAATGGCAGTGGCCGATGAGCATATAGATTTTGGAGATGATGATGATAAGATGCAATATCAAGCTAGTGCTGGTGCTATACCTGCTCTTGCAGAGGAAGAGATTGGGGAAGATGATGAGTATGATGATCTTTACAATGATGTCAATGTTGGAGAGAATTTCTTGCAGATGCATGCTTCTCATGTGCCTGCTACTATCGACAATGGAGGATACCAAGCTCCAAATCCCAAGGAATCAATAAGAGTCGAAACTGGGGGATCACAACGGTCTGCTCTTGAAGGGAATGCTGGACCAAATTTTCCTGAGCAGAAGGAGCTCCCCATTGCTGTGGGCTCTGTTGGCTACCCAGATGGTTCTTCTATTCCACATAAAGGCAGGAATGCAGAGATGACTCATGATACTCGACTCCCAAATATGGGGTTTCAAGGACCAACAATAGCAGCAGCCTACTATTGGAGTTGGTACTTCTGATATAAGTAGAAAAATTGTGAACGATCCTGCACCTTTGGCAAATATTGCCACCAGCAGTCCTCAAGTTGTTCCACACATGCCAGTTAATCGAACGAGTATGAATGCAGATGTTAATCGCCCAATGATGAATGAAAATCAAATCCGGCCGCCTATAGACAATGGTTCTGCCACACTTTTTGTGGGAGAATTACATTGGTGGACAACTGATGCGGAGCTTGAGAGTGTCTTATCTCAATACGGAAGGGTTAAAGAGATTAAGTTCTTTGAGGAGAGAGCTAGTGGTAAATCTAAAGGCTACTGCCAGGTTGAATTCTATGATCCAGCTGCTGCAGCTGCTTGTAAAGAGGGAATGAATGGGCATCTCTTCAATGGGCGACCCTGTGTTGTGGCCTTTGCTTCACCACAAACACTAAAGCAAATGGGGGCTTCTTATGTCAACAAAGCCCAAGCCCAGCCTCAGTCTCAGTCTCAGACACACGGAAGGAGGCCTATGAATGAAGGTGCAGGGAGAGGCAGTAATATGAATTATCAAAGTGGAGATGGTGGGAGGAACTATGGAAGAGGTGGATGGGGAAGGGGTGGGCAGGGAATTGGCAACAGAGGGGGAGGACCAACGAGGGGAAGAGGAGGCATGGGTCCCAAGAACATGGCTGGGGGTTATGCTGGCGTTGGAAACAGTGCCAATGGTGGAGGATATGGACAAGGCCTTGCAGGTCCTCCATTCAGTGCACCTGCTGGTGGAATGATACCTCCTCAGGGTATGATGAGTGCTGGATTCGATCCATTGTATATGGGTCGAGGGGGTGGTTATGGGGCTTTTCCGGGCCATGGTTTTCCTGGCATGCTTCCTTCGTTTCCTGCTGTTAATTCAATGGGCCTTCCTGGGGTGGCTCCTCATGTCAACCCAGCTTTCTTTGGCCGGGGAATGGCACCTAATGGAATGGGAATGATGGTTTCTTCTGGAATGGATGGACCAAATCCGGGAATGTGGTCTGACACTAGTGCAGGTGGATGGGGTGAAGAGCATGATCGAAGGACAAGGGAGTCAAGTTATGATGGAGATGATGGTGCTTCTGAACATGGCTATGGAGATGCGAATCATGAAAATGTAGTACGGCCAAGTGGTGCCAGTCGGGAAAAGGAAAGAGGTTCAGAGCGTGAATGGTCAGGGAACTCTGATAGAAAGTATCGTGAAGAGAGGGAACAGGACTGGGACAGTTCCGAAAGAGAGCACAGGGAGCACCGGCACAGGGATGAAAAAGATAGTTACCGAGGCCATCGGCAAAGAGAACGTAACTCAGGTTATGAGGATGACGGGGATAGAGGGCAGTCTTCTTCAAGATCTCATAGCAGATCACGTGCAGCACGAGAAGAAGATCACAGGTCTCGATCAAGAGATGTGGACCATGGCAAGAGGAGGCGTTCATGATCAGATTGACACAATCCTTGTTGTTCATCCTTAGAGGACATGTTGACAAGGTCACAACATTCTGTATTTACTCATTGAGTTGCGGACATGCATCTACCATCCATTGCAATGATCTGCCCAGACCTGAGTGCGAAGGGTGACTTCTTTTTGGAAAAAGTAAGTCCTGTTCGGATATGAGGGAGAACAGATACTCTGTTTCTTCCTTTGCTTCTTCAGAACTTCATTTCATTAAACTTAAGATTTGTGTGTTTGAAAACATTAGTAACTCCCAGTAGCATATCAATGTGGTTGAAAACATTAATAATTCCCAGTAGCTTATCAATGTGGATAATCTGTATTGTGCCGAACTTGCATTTTCTGCGGGTGAGCATCTCATTGGTTTTTATGATTATCCGGAATCCTACCTTAGGCTTGTGTCTTGATATGCTTGAAACCTTTTTGTTTTATATATTGTCATTAGCTCAGACAAGCTGCTATTATACCTTCTTTTTTTCTTTTTGGTTTTTTCATTGTTTAAGTGAAAGCTTTCACACTGCTTGATGCCACTATAATAGGGCATGGTGGTAGTGCCATCATTCATTTACTATGCTTGACGTCGAAAGTGTGTTTAGTTGAATTTGCTACTCGGATTATTAATTGGCCTGTTTCACCGCGTTTCCTATTTCTTATGGCCTGGCCATGACCTTGGCATTATTTCTGGGCTATCGTTTTGTTTTCTTTTTGTGCTCTTGAAGTATCTGAATTCTATATCGTGTACGTCAAAGTTGCCTGGAGTTGGTTTTCATTTCCATGCCAAATAACGAGATAATTCCTCTCTTGCTTACTATTCTCTATTTTTCTGGGATTAGAAATTTTTTTTTTTTTTTTTTTTTTTTTGTGATGGAGACTGTCTTCTTTGGTGTGTGTAGTTGTGTTTTGCTAAGGTTTTGCATTTGTTGCTTTTGTTTCATATTTAATGAAACTTTAGAAAGTGGAAGAACTTTGTGCATTGCCGGTGTTTTGTTCATTAGCAGATGCTTCAAGGGGCAATTTGTAGTCTATGCATGCTGAAAAATAAAAATTGGAAGTTTCAAGTTTGGTCTTGGTGGAGGAGTTGCCATTGGCGGTTATGACTATGGTCTTTCGAATAATTAGATTAGAGGGTATTGTTCCTCTGTTGTAAATTTTTATAGAGTTCTACTTTAACTGTGTTCAGAGGGGTGGGGGAATCCTGTCTACGAGTCCTCTTATTAATATTAATAGTTATGAGCTAGTAATATTTGTGTTTTGTTATTAGACTCAGGCTTTTAGGGTAGTTGTGTTGCCTATGCAGTGTCAGAATACAATTTAACAATGGGGCTACTGCTCCTGAGGTTTTTGTCAAAATGGTACTCATGCTTCTGCGGAAGGAAAAATAATAGCTTTTTCATGGTTTTTCAGATTTGTAAGTACATAGTCCTTTTCCTACACCACTTTGTCTTTGGTTGTAATAGAGAATCATATCGAGTTCAGTTCAAGGTCCAAACTGATCAGTTTTGCAGTTGTAACAAGTTTGAAACTTGTCTTTTGGTTGTTTGCTAGCTATCATTGAAAATGATTGTTTTAAAACTCATTTCAGAAGGCAACATTGTATGTATTCCTATCTTCCTTTTCTTGTTTCTTCTATCCTTAAGGTCCATATTTTCCTATCTTTCTCTCAACTTTTCTTATGAGAAAACGCATATATTAGGTGGAAGATAATGTAAAGTAATGGAAGAAGGAAATGGTTTCTATTTTTTCACCTAAAACAATTCCTTTCTTCCATCATTACATAATGTTCTACCATGCTTATAAAAATTTCTGTTGTTTATGCACTATTTCGCATATTATAGTGCAGTCACATAATGAAACATTAAAAGATCTGCATAGATTGCTATTTCTACATATGAACATGTCTATCGGTACAGAAACTCTAGTCACGATCCCCAAAGGTATTACTGCACTTTTCCTATGGTTCTGCTACACTAATACCTTGCCGCTTTCTGAGGGCTTGCCCTTGCTGTATACTTGCTGCTACTTAGGTCTGAATGACTTGAGTTACTGACTATGATTGATAAAGTACCTGGAATAATCATGTCTTTATGTCTTATAGAAGTCAAATACAGGACAGTGTAATAAAGAAGTGGATTACTGGACGGCTGGTTTGATTGATTTGCCATTTGGGTTTTATGTTATTCTTTTGTCTAATATGTGAGTGATAAAGCTAGATTTGTTGGGTGGTTTCTTTGACAAATTAGTTTCTTTCAATGTTTATTGACATGGGGGTTCTCTTTTTATCATCCATCCAGGGAAAGGGCTGGGCAACTCGTTGTTTCCATGATTGGATGAATCCATGTTGGTTGCCTGGGCTGGAGACTATTTGTTAGATTGAACTGCCTTCATTGGATTCCTAATGTATGCCCCCGTTTGCCAAAGAAGTTTTTGATGTTTTGGCTTTCAACATTTTTCTCCTAAACAACACTTAATATTCTCCTGCAAAAATGTCTAGAGAGATTTGTATATATGATGCTGTAAAATAGTAAAGTATAAGTTTTAGGATCATCATGCTTATTTCTTGTAAAGCATTAGACTTTCTCATGTAAATGGATATGTGTATTAGGTTATGACATGTAATGGCTATTACCCTTGTATGGGCTCATCTGTGAGCTTGTAAAAGCTTTGTAATGATTGTGCAGCTTGTTTTTGTACATATTTGTAGTTTTGTAATTCAGTCATGTTATCTTTGTGTCAGAAGGGTCATAGTTGAGCTAACAGTACTTTGTAATGGTGGGTAGATGTTCCCACAATAACATATCTAAAACTCAGTTTCTGTTTGAGGCCTTTTCCTGAAAGCTTAAAGGATTTGGGCATTAGTTTCAATCATTCTTATGTAACCTGAGGAATTATGACTTATGGATTGCTGCAATGCTGTGGATGGTCTGAACAACAGAGTTTTGGTTGTTTTGGATTTGTTTCTCTTTCTTCTGCATTCCTTTTCCCTTTCCTTTATCTTGAAAAAAGTAATATTAGAATTAAGATGAAAAAAAAAAATCAGTTTCTTGTGCACTGCTGTTCTGAATCTTCTAATGGGCTGTTATTGTATGTATCATGCTGTCTGGTTTGTTCATTGAGAGCTTTGCATATGATGTTTTTTATATTTTTGGTTCAGACTTATATTTGTGTATGAGAACTAATGACATCCTGCTTAAGGTCAGGCCATTGGTACCTGTGGTATTCTTGGAGGGGCAATACTTGTGTGAGGTGGAAAACTTCTACAGCTGGATTTAACAACTAAACTATCATTAGACATGTCCTATCTATTGCTTTATTTTCTTTTAGCTCCACCTTCATTTTGATTTGCACTTTGTAATGGAGTGTTTGATTTGATTAATGATGCAGTTACATTTGGGTATTGTGCATCTAATGTTGGAAGAAATAGATGTTTGAATGATGGTATTACTATCTATTATTGCTTAGCAACTTTGAGCCATTCATAGGCCATTGACTATAAGTTGATCTTAGTAGTTTGAAGATGATCTGTTGAACATTTTATACATATGTTTTGGCATTCCTTCTGTTTAGTTGCACAACTTGTTATGATACTCAGTACTTCTAGAGTTTAAGACCTGGATTGCCCTGGTTTCCCGTGAATTTCAGCTCTACTTTCTTATCTATACCTCAATTGGAGCATATAAATCGTGGGCGCTCATAGTCATAGGCTCTGGAATCTATAAATTTCTCCATTGCACTAGGCCTCAGACCTTTTGATCCGGTGTTTTGTTACTGTTATGAGAATGATTTTGTTGAACTATACGTGTGTGTGTGTGTGTTTGTGTGTGTGTATTGTGCTGGTAACAGTAGTTTTGTCAACAAATGCCATCCATAAATTTCACATTTTCTTCCCCTTGAATTTCTATTCTTTGTTTTTGGTTTGGTTGGAGGGGAAACACAATTGTTGATATTGTCTTTCGGTCTCTTGCTATGTGCTTTGCTTTACTATTTTGTGATAGAAGTATTTGGTGAGTTTGTTGTTCAATTACTGCAGTTCTTAAGATGGGCCTGGTTGGTGTTGTAGTTAAACTTATCACTGTTTTAACTGTTGTTTGTGCAATGACCTAAATGTATTGGGTTAAATATTAGACATTGCAGTCTCCTATTATATTCTTCTGCTTGCTAGGCAAAATCCGATCCTTCTGAAGCCTAATTTCCTTTGTTAGTGGTTCTGATTAGGTTAAGATTACTGCTATTGTACAGTTTTTTTTTTTTTTTTAAAAAAAAAGGGGGGCCAGAAGCTGCAAAATTATGTACAAATTCTGAAGTCTCTTATACCAGCATAATCTCGATACAACTTCTCTTTAATAAACACAGGAGAGGCAACTAAAAACATGGTATGATCCTCCAAATTAACTATGTGATTAGCCAACATAGTTTTGAATAATGGCCCTTACGTTATATAACGGTCATTATGTAACAATTTTAGAGTATGTCATTACAGTTATTTAGTATTATAGTAAATCGCGATTTGTGATAAATATCGTGATCGTTTTTCAACCGTCTGTAATTTTAAACTACCTAAAGCATTACCACAAGCATTTGCTTCTCTGTAGATATGTGCAATGGACACCGTCCTCTCTCTTCCAAGCAAATCTGCAGATGTGTTTGAGCAGGACAGATTTATAGCCCTCTTTTTACATGATCGCATACTTGCAGCATTCAGAAACTGAATTCCAATCGCAACCGTGTCCAATTTTTTAGGGTCATGAAATTGCAGAACAAGGTTAGGGCCATGGTTTCTTGGATTTTGCCTAGTGAATAGACGGACGCGAGGTCAGGATGCGCTCTATGGAAGTGAGATTCAAACATTTTTGCATTTGGTATGTCTTGAAAATACGATTTTCTCAGAAATCTCTCATTTTTAAGTCCTTTTTAGAGTTTTTTTTTTTATTTTTTTTAAAAATAAGAACCATATTAAATCTATTACTTATAAAGATGCTTAACTCGAATCTTAATACGTTTAAAAACGAAATTCAAAAAATAATATAGATACCTATTCAAAGTTTAAATCATATTTTTATTAAATCTAACAATATTTGGATGCACTAAACAATTATTGAACAAGAAAAAAAAATTGTAATATGAACCAAAATTTTTTTTTCCAAGAAATTAAATTTGATGATAGATAATGATAAGAAAAGGTAAGAAATTGAATATCCTAATCAGTAGAAGGAAGAATTTTTTTTTTTTTTTTTCCGAGTTTGAGCTATTTTTTCAATATAAATGAAATAACAATATTTAATCATTTATGAAAAGTCTAATTAAGAGTATTTTTAGTATTGTCGACATGGGGCCCACGGAGGATGCACGAGAAATAGGAATCACCACTTAACTAAAAAACTCTAAACATACTAGTCTGCATAGATATCTAAGTAAATAGTAAGTTACGCATGAAGAATATATAACAACATCATCATCCTATCTTACTTAAGGTAGACTATATTGTTTGCATGTAAAAATAAAAATCTAGTTTTATTATATTATGTTTTTATGCCTATTTGAGTGAATTTATTTTATTAGGATGACATAACGGAGTAATTCGAGATCGAGATAGGTTCGAGGCGGATCCCATGCTTAAAGAAAAAAAGTGGGGGAGATTGAAATTTAGCACATCTTTAGTGAACACGACTTATATAGGTAAATATGTGAGTTTTTAAAAATTGAGAGCCTTTATTGACATGAATAAGAAGTCATTAACAACTTCACTCACACGAGTGGGAAGTCATTGCCGACTTTGGATCATGAGTTTAGGAAGTTATCGACAACTTTTTTCACATAAATAGAAAGCTACCGATAATTTCATTTTGCTTGAGCAAGGAGTGGATAATTGGTTTGGAAGCCATTGACAATTTTGTCACATAAGTAGAAAGTTACCGACGGCTTCATTTAAATAAAAAGAAAGCAAGCAAATTGATTTTGAAGCCACTAGCAACTTCGTCCACATAGGTAGGAAGCCACCAACGGTTTTATTTTCAAACGAGTTAAAAACAAGTAAAATGACTTCGAAACCATTGACGACTTCATCACATAAGTGAAAAACCACTAATAGCTTCATTTCAAATGAATATAAAGCAAGTAAATTGATTTGAAAGCTATTGCCGGCTTTATCCACATAGGTAGAAAGTCACCGATAATTTTATTTTAGGTAGACGGGAAGCAAAAAAAGATTTGAAAACTGCATGAAGCTTCGACACACAAGTGGAAAGCCACTACCGAGCTTCCTTTCATTTACGTATAAAATAGATAATCACATCACTTAGTACAAACATGAACATACATTTAAATACAAACACCGGACCGAGCATTTGTCTCGGATCCACTATTGAAAATAAAAAATCAAGCTCATCCTCCTAAATCTATTGCGAGCATTGAATAATCTAAATTATTTCACCTCGATAATATCCGAGGTCTTCGACCATATTAGGTTTGATACACGATGGGGTATCCAATCACACTTCAAATTTCAACAATTACAACTAACATGCATTTTTAATTTATTTATTAAGACCTATCAGTCACATCATTTTAATAAAAATACTATTAAAAGTTACTTAAGATGATGGTTGAGAAATGCTGAATTTGTCCGAGCATTGTTCGAGGTTAGTTCTACTTTCTTCGACCTTGATCAAAACCAATTGTTTAGTTAGTCGAGAAAAAAAGTAACTACTCATTAAAGCATCAAAAAGGCTGTTATGAAATGACCGAAATGTCTTTAGAGGTTAAATGACCAAAATGCCTCCGGTTAGATATGAAATGACCAAAATTCTATTAAGGTAAAATTACCAAATTGGCTCTATAGGCCAAAATTACCAACCGCTTCGGTAACCTCACGAGCTACTTTCTACCAGCCACAGTCACCTTTTGACCACCTTTAAAATGTGTGGCTAGTTAGGGAAGGGTCATCCGGAGCTCCTCTATCGATTGGTGCAAGCGAGTGTCAATTATGGTAAACGACGGTTGAAAATTTTGGGTTTTTTTTTTCGACAATATTCTCATCCATGATGAGGTAACGGAAGAATATCAATCAAGTCATAAGACCTTGGGGAGTATTCCTAAGGTGGTTAAGAGGTCCGATTTGGCCTTGATAGTCGATTTGGTCGAGTTGTGTCAAACATGTCAAAATAGA